CCGGACCCCCCTTTCTTTTCAGCTTCCTGGCCAAACTCATCCTGAATTCCTGGGGTTATATAGCGTTCCGGGGGAGAACCCCCGGACCCCCCTTTTCTTTCAGCTTCCTGGCCAAAGGCAACCCTAACATAGAGAAAAAGCACGGACAGTAGAACTCCAACAGCAATGGATCAAGAGCTCCACCCCCGTCGCACCCACACCACCACCTGACACCCACAGATCACCAACCACAGCGCCACCTGCGCAATCGTCATCGCACTTCCCACCCAGAGCACCGCCGGCGCCTCCAGCGCCTGTCCCAGCGTACACGTCGCCAGCACGAACCCCGTCAGCGGAAACACCATGCACCACCAGTTCAGCTCATAGCGGATCGTCCCGCGCACCAGCGCCTCCGCGAGACTCGCCCCCGCCAGCGCGCACAGCACCAACGCCAGCGCCCACAGACTCACCCCCGCCGCCACGGCCAGCACATACAGCACCTCCGCCGTCGGCACGTGGCTCGCCTGCGAGAGGAAGTGCGGCGGCAGCGTCTCCACCGCCGCCTGCGCCATGCCGCACCACGCGAGGATGGTGAAGCACGGCGGGCCCACCGCGATGAACATCTCCGGGCGGAAGTGGGGAGCGGGCAGTCCGCTGCGGGTGAGCGAGTGGGCAGTCTGCGTGAGGACGACGAAGAACATCAGGATGCCCAGTCCTTGCATCGTCGTGCCCCCGACGAGCATGGGAAGGGCCCGCGCGGAGGGTTGGTTCGGGGCCAGAATCCCCGCCATCGTCCCGCTCAGCATCGGCGGGAAGAAGGGCAGGATCTGCACGATCGGGTAGTGCGCCTCCGGTTGCGTGTGTGTGTGGGGGAGGATCCACGCGAGGAGCCCACACAGGGCCAGCGAGACCCCCGTATACACCCAGAACACGACGTGCAGGGTCCGCCCCAGCCACGGTCCGCAGTGCGGCGTCCCGTAGTACGAGACCCCGAACACGATCGCCGCGAACGCCAGGAGGGCGATCGGGAGGAAGTACAGCTCGGTGGGTTGCTGGAGGTGCAGCACCCGTCGGCGGACGCTCCATGCGCCGGACGGCTTCGGGTGTCCGCTCGGGCGGATCGCTTCGAAGATGAACGCCCCCGTGATGAAGACGTAGAGGACGAGGTTCGCCAGGAACACGATCGTCCCGAGGGTGGACAGTCCGCGGAACTGGTGCGGCGTCTGGTGCAGCAGCACCGCGATGCCTCCCCAGCTCAGCGAGATCGCGTACCAGCTCCAGCGCACCGCCGAGCTCAGTCGGCGCAGGGGCGAGAGGTGCGGCTCCTCGCGTTCCATGGGCAGTGGCAGTGGCAGTGGCAGCTGCGATTGAATTTGGTTTGGACTGTCGCTGTCGGCTCGGTCGTTCACTGTTGGTGTAAACGAGGTACTAACTTATGGTATTGTGTTTATCCGGGATGGTGATCAGCCCTGAAGCCGTGCGTGTCGACGGGCGAGGAGCGGACTGCGCGGCAGCGCGGAGAGAAGAGAGGGGCGGCCATGCCAAGCAGTCCGATTCCTGCTCGCTGCACTGAAGTGGGCGTATGACATGATCTGGGTTCCAGCCAAGGGGGATGGAGGATGGAGAATGGAAAATTGAGGATTGAAAATTGAGAATTGATAACAGGGCGTGCGTGACGTCACGGCAGATGTGGGTCCCGTGACTTCATCGCCAGACGGCCATTCCGGGTTTTTGCGGTGCTCCTGAAACCTGTAGTGCACCGCGGAATGGCTTGATGGGGAATATTTTGGATAGAGGGCAGGTTTTGGTGAAGTCTGTTGGCTGCTGGAGTGGTTGTTCTGTGCTGGTGGTTGATGGAGTTAGGGTTGCCACTTCCACTGGGCTGGGGACACTTTGCACATACCTTTACGGCAGTTGAACTTACAGTATGCTGATATGCAGACGATGACAAATAATCTGATGATATGCAGACATGTACACAATATATACAACAGGTAGCTCCAAGTAGAAGAAACTGGGCCCCGCCATATCCAGCAACAGGCGAGTATAACAGACATCATAATGCTATATGCTATAATAGACCCACTAAGCAAGGATCACCAGGATCTCGCGCATCGAGATCCGATCTAGAACTAGCTAAGAAATGCAGTAAATCAGGCTAATTGCGCGCATGTCAACCAAGCAGCAAACGTCTCACCAATGTACAGTACAGGCAGTATCTCCCTCATCCCAACGCGTGTATACATCACCCGGGAGAATTGCAACCCCGACTCAACACTTCACCCCCATTAGTTCTTCTCTCCCTCCGGGCCCAGATGCAACCGCCGCTTCCACTTCATCTTACTCTTGCGCATCGCCCGCTGCGTCCGCTCCCACGGGTAGTTGACCGGCGACTCGCCGCCGGTGAAGATGAAGAAGTCATACAGGAAGGCCCCCATCATCGCCCCGCCAATCGCGCCCACCCACGGCCCGTAGAACCAGTAGGCATTCGTGAACAGATCACTGCCATACCCCAGCGCCAACAGGGCCAGCCGGGGACCAAAGTCGCGACTGGGGTTGAAGGCGGCCCCCGTCTGGTAGGCAAAGGCGACACTCAGGTTCATGATCATCAACCCGACAATCAGCGAGTTCATTCCGGCCCCCGGGGGCGCGTTTTGGTCGTCGCCCAGCGCCAGCACCACAATCGTCAGGATCATCGTCCCCAGGAACTCGTTGAAGAAAGCGGTCGCTCCGCCGATCCAGCTGTACCGCTGGTTCGTCACGAAGCTGTTGACCACCCCGGAGGCGGCGTTGGTCGCCAGGTACTCGTGGATCGACTCGTAGTACAGCCCGTACGCGCATAGCGCCGCGATGAAGGCGGCCAGGAACTGCGCCGCGAAGTACTCGGGCATCAACCGCTTGGGAAAACCCCGATAGAACCACAACATGATGGTGATGGCCGGGTTGAAGTGCGCACCCGAGATGCCACCCGACACATAAATCGCCATCATCGTCGCGAACCCCCAGGCCCAGTCGGTCGTGTTGGGATTGCCCGTGTCCGCGCACGTCACGGCCAAGTCGGCGCAGAACCCGACGAACAGCTGCACAAACACCCCGAGCGCCTCCGCGAGCGCCTCGCGGTGGTGCGTCCGGATCACCGACCAGGTCGTGTGGTTGTTGTGCACCTCCTCCTCCACCAGCTCCTGCACCAGCGGATGCAGATCCTCCGGCAGCGCCGGATCCTCCAGCGCCTCCAGCTCGTCCAGTCCCTCCTTCAGCTCCTCCTCCGCCTGCTGCCCCAGTTCCGGCGATTCCCCGGCCGTCTCGTCGTCCCCGTGCCATTCCGGCTCCTCCGGTACGGGCTGCAGCGGCACGTCGCTGGGCCGATGATCACTGCTCGGGCGGTGGATTGTCGCCCCGGGCCCCGTCCCTGCTGGCCCGGCCGGGCCCCCCGTCTCCGCCTCCTCCCCCGGGATCCCCTCCTCGTCGTGGATACTCGGAGCGGGCGTCTCCCCTTCCGCCACCGTCGACAGCGGCTCCTCCCACCCGACGGCCGAGGAGCGGCGCCGCCTGACGGAGGAGCTGCGCGACAGCCGGGAGCCGCGCATGGAGGCGGTGTCGCCGGACAGCAATTTGTTCATGAAGTTGGCCTCGCGCTGGCGACGGGCGTCTTCGACTTGGGCGGCCATGAGACGGGGGTCCGCGGTTTTCTCGATCTGGCCCTGCTCGAGGTCATTTGGGTCGACGTCCAGCCCATAGCGCTGGGAGTTCTCGGCGGGGCGCTGCGCGGTCTGGCGGGCCTCCAGCAGCTCGTCTTTGGTGGGCACCATCCCCGACCGCACCACGCGCGGCAGCGGTTTCGCTAAACCCCAGACCGGACGCGCGTTGACCGGCTGCTCGTACGCCGGGTTGAGATCCCCGTATCCCGGCTGCACAAACGGCTCGTGCGCCAGCCGCAGTTGCGGCGTGTCGTCCGGCCCGCCCACCGTGAACTTGCCCTGCGTGCGTTGCGCGAGGGTCGTCCGCGGCGCGAGACTCGGGATCCCCCTCTCGCTGGCCCCGCTGCGTCCGCTGCGTCGGGAGGCGGCCGAGCTGCGCCTCCGGACCCCGGAGCCCAGCTCCCCGTCGCGTCCGGAGACCCGGCGCGTGGGTGAGATGAAGTCGGAATCCAGCGTCCCGCGCCGCCCGCGGCCCAAGGGCGAGATGGGAGGGGAGGCGGCCCCGGTGGCTTCGTCACGTACACGCTCCACGTCGGACTGTGAAATGGAGGGATAGAGAGTCAGTCTGAATGGTGAATGCAGTGGTGTCGGTCAGAAGGAGAGGGAGGACTCACCCTGGCCCGGGGACGTCCGGAGTCGCGTCCGGCGTCGCGTCCGGCGTCTGCGTCACTCATGTCGGTCGACCAAAACTGAGTTTATCGGATTGATGGTTGTATGGGTTGTATGGGGGGGGAAGGGTGTTGTTGTCAGGGAAGTGTAGATTCTCTTGTAAGTGTAAAAGGTGTCAAGTCAATGGGTAATGGAGGTCGAGAGGATTCTGGAGGAGAGAAGAGGGAGTAAAAGAGAATGAAAAGTAGGCAACGACAATCCGCTGATAGAGACTCGCGGTGAGGGAGAGCCTGGGAAAACATGATATCCACCGGTCGCTCCTATTGCTCCATGACGCCATGTTGTGGTGGTGGATGCCCTGAGATGGAGCGAGTGGATGGGATGGGATGGGGGGAGATACGATGCGAGAAGATCGTCGGAATTAGGGCCTGTGCTGGCGTAATGGCAGTGGGTCGGCACATTATGGAGGGGAGGATACAGGAGTGCACCTTGCACAATTGCTCACACTCACAAATCATCGCGGGAGGTTCCTGAGTGGACTGTGCCCTGAATCCCGACTCCATCCCCTCGGTTGCAATGACGTCGAACAGCGCCATTATTGGAAGATGCAGATTCGGAGCGATCCAATCCATCCGCGTTATCCGTTGCTTTTCCAGTGCAGAGAATCCCTAACTTAGTCAGTAGCCCGTTGTCTGTCAACCATGGATGGAGACAGAATTTCCACTTTTTGGTCAAGATATTCAGGAACAATCAGTCTAACTCTGGTATCATTGGGTCCCTCCATATGGACTCCCAATGGTGGATGTAAAAGTATTTTTTTCCTGGTGGTCAGCGATGGCCCCGAAAAGCTGCGGTGGTGCGTGGGTGGCGTCGCCACATAATGCTTGGTTCCTCTTCGCGCGTCCACGCCATCCACTCGCCTTTTGACGCTAAGCTCGCTGCTGCTAGTCTGCGAAATCTGCTAATCGCTAATCGCCTTAAAACATCGCTTTATGCAGCCTCTTCCCGCCGGGGTAAATCCGAGCTTCGATCGCAGTCCCCTTTCGACCCGCTTTGCGATGTATGGTTGTGCAGTGTGTATTGCCTGCACACACAGTGGTGTTTCGTCTCGATCGCAATCATGCAGTGTCAATGATTCTGTATTGCCACGCCCCATGTTGTCAGATTCTCGCGGTTTTCTATCCATCAAAGCGAAGCAAGCTCTTCTGTCAATTTGCTTAGCATGCGGATCGCCGTTCGTGGGTTGATCGCCTCCCACAGCAAATTTCTTCGAGTGGGGAGATGGGGCAGTCGGAAATTTGCTGGTCGATCGGATTAGGACTCGAGTATCCCGATGGGGCTGGATACCCAGTACGAAGTAGTTATTTCTTTGGGCTTTGCTCCTCATATTGCAGCTCCATTCGAGCTCCATCGGAGCGACCGATAATCCAGCAGGGGCTGCTGCGAGTGGTTCGGATGCACTCGCGATCCGCCGCTCGCGGGACTCCTCCCAACCAGCTGTCGAGTCCCGGTGAAGGGAATGGACCAGGGGGGAAGTATAGGCGCCATAAAAGGGGTTCGTGGCTGTTCGCGGGACTCAGGGCTCGCGTGAACAGGGGATCGCTCGCGGCATCGCAGACTCGCTAGACCTGCCTCCTTCGAGATGGAGATCGGCCGGAGCTCGAGAGCTGAGCTGCAGTGTATGACTGTAGGAGGTGGTCTTTGGGTGGTCTGTTCAGTGTTTCTTCCGAAAGAGCGGCATCGGTCGAGATACCTTTTTGAGAGTAATGCTTGTACTTGTTCCTCGCTGGTTTGCAGTGAAGCGTGCTTTTTGGAAGCTGGCTGTACCTGCTATCTCAATGGACCTCAGGGTTCCAGAAAACACCCAGACTCGAGGGCGAGAGGGTGTTTATGTACGTGCCACAGATCATGTCCAGATCGTCAAAGATCAGGCAAATACCAGGACAGAGGCCCCGGAGGTATCTACCTCCGGCCATTGCCTTGTTATAGGACACTCATCGCCAGCTAGAAAGCGCCAGACCACACCCACTCTTACGTCACATGTATGTGTTTGGTGGATGACACTTGCAATTGGAAGATCGACAGACGACTGAGATAACCACTGGTTGTGGCTGGGGACCCAGCTCGTTCTTGTGAGTACTGAGGAGTGATCGAGATCTGATGTGAAATCGGGACCTGTGCGCATGGTGGTGCATGAAGAAGGCATTGATGAACGGAGATAGAATCCCAATTCGCATACTCGAAATTATGAATATATTCCGATCCGATCACCGGACTCCGCTTTGACAAGAGCAGAGTATTTTCATGAGATTGCTCGCCTTGCACCAGGTCCAGATGTAGCAAGCGCCACATCTATGAGAATTGAATGTGTTTCTTCCTGGTCACTACATACTTGGTATCTAGGCCCGGAATATGCTACAATGCTACAAACTACGAATAGACAAAGCTGCCTGATGCAAGCCGTTCAGGTGGGGAGAGAGTGGGCACGATCCTCTCGTGCAGGAGAAGCCCAAATGCGCATTTTGGCATCCATTGTCGTTGTACCTTGGTACATTCGTCCTACAAGTCCAATCGCCTGTTTGTCGCCACTCCATCCATCTTCACTTCATCTCTTTGGTCACCTGTATCGGGAAATTTCCATGGTGAAATAATCCTGATGCGTTGGGCTTGTCGTATATGAAGTCAACCGGCTGGAAAATGCTCGAACTGGACTCTGTTCTGAAATCCCAGGACTTTGCCTGACTGTCCGACGAGAAGATCATCTTGCTGTATCGGGGCGCTGCACTGGGAGAGGTCAATGTTGGAATTGTCTCTGGTATATCTAATGCGGCCTTCTGTCAGTTATCATAAGACCACCGAATAACATAACTAGATCTAATAGTCGACGGTGCACAGGTGTGCGTGCGACATGCCTTACCAGCAACGCTGGGTCTCTGTACGTGGGAAAAGAGGAGGATTCATCTACGACTGTTATATTCAACCGACGTCTTGGTCTATGCTGTATGGCGGCTGAACAATTCTCTCGCAAAACGATATCAGCGGGCGGTTTATAATTCACACAGCGCGGTGGCCCAAAGGCCCAGAAGTATCCGGGAAAAAGTTGCTGTTCGAGAAAATAGCTGAAGCGCAATGCACTGCGTTGGGATTCTGCAGTCTGGTGCTTTATACCCTCGGGAACGGCCCTAATATCTCGCGCAAACTGTAACACCTTTGGTCGCCATCCAACGTGGGTTGGCCCGGTCAACTAGCGACAGTAAAGAGTGTAGGTGTGTCGAGCAGAAGCTTCACTTAAAGGCTTAGTCCTTACTGACCAGTCTTTCTAGTCGACCCATCAGACAAAGAAGGGTTCGCAGACTATCTAGACTCCTACCACAATTTGCATCTTCTGCGAAACCCGGACACTCCAGCCAAGTTCCAGACACCTCATTGTTATCGAAAGTCGGGACGGATTGCGCTCGCTGGCAGTTGATGGTGGTGACGGGGAGATTGATTCTGTTTCTAGTATCTGCAGTGTGAATCTGCCATCCCTCACTACTTTCTCAGATGCAAAAGTTCGACCGCACCTCATGCCAAACTCGTGCCCCATGCACAGTCCGGACCGATACAGCAAGAGGTAAAAAGACGACAGCAGTCGGATTTGAACCGACGCCTCCGAAGAGAATAGATTTCTAGTCTATCGCCTTAGACCACTCGGCCATACTGTCTGAGATAAAAACTTTGGAAGACTTTAGAGTATCTGAAACAAAGCATTGCGTAAAGGGGTTGTGGGAGACCCACTTGGTCGGTCTCGGTCCACTCACAGACGTGCTCGATGTATTGGTCTCTGAAACCAATAGTGGCCATACATATCGAGTTACTGGGTGGGTGTTCAAATCTCACTATGGCCATGGAAGAGAATGATCATTTATCCTACGAAGTATATAGCAGAGTGCTGGTGTAGTAGTGGCTGTCTTGCAGAAATCCAGTTCTTGTCTGCCCTAACTTGTCCAAATTCAGTTTAGTCTCAAGCTGTGAGTGAGCTTGCCTGATGTGGTTAGTCTAAGCTCAGTCACAGCGCTAGGCTGTTCGCGGCCTAGTGCTGCCTAGAGTAAACACGGAGTAGAATAACCAGAGTATACTGAAGATCAGCTCACGAGTAGTTTGATTAGAACTTAGATACCTGTTTCATTGGATTGTATCAGAAGAACCAGAGACTATACTGAGAAATGGATGTATAAACAAGTTTAAGATGTGGAAGAAGAACCAAGGTCGTAGTAGACTCTCGGTTTATACTACATATATATCCACAGCTTGTTGAGGCCTTGACTTCTTGATATCAAAACCAATCACAAAAGAGATAGTAGACTAGTAACTTGTAGACTTAGTATCTGAGACATCCATATTATAGTCAGAAAGTGAGGGATCTATAGTATCAGAGGATCCTGCAGGCCGTTGTTGTTGTTGCAGTAAGGATCCTGTAAGTGTGGCTGCTATATCCTGGCGGAGAATGACGGGGCGGAATTAGAAAAGTCCGAGTTTATCATCTTATCTTCTTATCTGGCCGTCTTCCCCATTGAGCATCACATCACATCACACAATCCAAGCTTCATCATGGAATCCCTCCTCGACGTCGTTCGAGACTGCGATAAGTAAAACTCCCAATTGTCGCTTCAATCACCCCGCTGACACCTTCTGCAGCTACCCCTACCCAGAAGACCCAGACCCGACCGTCTACAATGACCTTCAACGCACGCTCTGGAAGTTTTACCTCCCAGAGGATCCGCAACCGCATGGACTCCTGATCGACTCCGTGGTCCGCGCTATGCCTTGGACATCCGACTTCGACATCGTATCACACCCTTATAAAGAAGTTCGTCTGCGACGTCCCGCGGGTCCGGACTGGCAGTCCCAATGCACGCAGATCATCGCACACCAGATGGAACGGGCCCGCGAACTCGGGGTCTTCCCTCAGCTCGGTCGGCTTCGCGGCGAATGGTTCCCCATCGTGGGTGCTCGCTTTCCTGTCGCCATTGACCGCAGCGCTTTCTCGATGTGGGGAATCATTGGTCAGGGAGTGCACATGACCGTCTATACACGCAACGCGACCGGGTGGCAGTTCTGGATCCCGCAGCGGAATCCGAACAAGTCGACGTACCCGGGTCTGTTGGATAACGCGGTCGCAGGTGGGATGGCTATGGGCGAAACGCCGCGTGAGTGTCTGGTGCGCGAGGCAGGCGAGGAAGCAGGACTGTCGGCCGATGTGGTGGAGAAGGAGGCGCGCGCGGCGGGGACTGTGACCTGGATGAATATCAGTGATGCACGGGCTGGGGGGCAGGTGGGATTGATCAACCCAGGGGTCTTGTTCGTGTATGACTTGGAAATCAACGAGCAAGAGGTCCTGCGACCGGTGGATGGGGATGTGTATGCTTTCCACCGGATGGGAATGTTGGAGGTGAAGGAGGCACTGCTGAGGAAGCGATTCAAACCCAGCAGTGGTGCAGTCATGTTGGACTTTCTGATCCGCCATGGACTGGTCAACCCTGAAGAGGAGAAGCACTACGCGGAGATCGTCACTAGGCTACATCGCAAACTGCCCTTGCCGTGTAGTGCTTCCGCCTGAGTCAACCAACATTCACTGGTGAATGATAAGGAGTGACAAAATATTCACTGGTGAACTATCTGGAAGCGCGTGACTGCATGGTCTTCACTTATTATATAGGGATCATGTTGTGAACGAGTTGCCTTTGAGTTCATATTTGAACAGGTTCTCATTATCCTGCAAGTGGTGCACATTGCAGTTCATCATTCATATTGTCCCCACCCTCGAGCTACTCACAACGAGCCGTCAATCAGCCAATATGCCTGATCCAGCCTCCCTTCCTCTGGAGCTCTTCGACGAAATCCTGCTCTTCGCTATGAATGGCAGCATGTCATCAAATCCGATGGAGATCCTCCGAGTCAGTCGTGCCTGGCATGCCGTGGCCATCCGTCATCTCTACGAAAGTTATTACTTCGCACCCATCACCGAAGAACCAGATGAGTCTGAGAACTTGGTCCAGTTCCTGGGGGCAGTGTCGAAGGAGAAGTATGGGGATCTCGTGAGGCGACTGTGTATCAAGCTGCTTGGAGTAGATATGCTACCCAAGAACGTTGTTGCACATCTGAGAGAATCCTTCAAGCTATGGGCGCAGCAAGCTGGCCTACCCAACTGGAAGGTCGACCTCTACGAAGGGTCCCCTAAATTCGACGTACCATCCCTGGTGCCGCTGATCCTCACCCGCGTGCGAAATCTCCGGATTGCCTACCTCCGACTGGAGCATGATTCCTATTACTTCTCCCATGCACTGCACGCGGCGGTGGATCCCCGGAACAGCAGTCCTTTCCGAGCTTTCCAGCACCTGGAGAAGCTGCAGATTGGCTGCCACCCGGGCCGAGGGACCCCGCTCGCGAAATTCGACTTTCGAGTGGAAGACGTCTGGCCGCTCTTCCATCTCCCGGCTCTCAAGATATTGGCACTCGATGGCCTCGAGGCCCGGGGCGCAGCACGGCTGTTGCAGGAGAAGCGGGGCCAGTCGCCCATCGAGAACCTCAATATCGCGATCAGTGGCTCCCTGAGCAGAATGACCATGTCGGACGTGGAGACGATCCTGCAGCAGCCGAAGTCGCTCAAGCGGCTGAAGATTCAGTTCCGCCAACTCCCGGCGACCTACGACGGATTCGTTCACGGTCTCTGGCGCAGCCTGGTCCGGTACCGCGACCGTCTTGAAAGCTTGGTGATCGAGACCATCTACGCGGCCTGGGACGACTGGGATGAGTCGAAGCGCCCACTTCAGCCCTATCCGTGTTCCCCTCTGGCCACTTTCCCCGTCTTGAAGCAGCTCGCCATCAGCGCGGACTATATTGTTCGTAACCACGGTGGGTGCCCGCATGGGGGCGTCTCCGATCTCTCGCTGCGGGGCCACCTCCCACCCAACCTGGAGGCCTTCATGATTACAGACTGTAGCCGCGCACTCGTCTTGGAGGGCCGCTTGGATCCGCTGCTGGCTCACTTCGTCGAGGAGACGACAGGCATGGTCAAACACATCACGATCGAGGGCGCCACTATTGGATCCACGGCCTGGGATCCGATCGACTTCCCGCTCACCGAAAGGGCCTGCATGCGGACCGGAATCCAGTTCGACTTTCACGCTTACTACGATCCGCACCGCGTGATGATCATACACAACCCGAGGTGGAGTCCGCTCGTCGGAACGCCGGACTTTCGTTCTGATGTGCGGCCTGCGTTTTACGAGGAAATGGCGTCAGCGTGCCGATGTCTACGTTCAGTCGATAATTTCGATCTCTTGGAGGAGGTGTATGAGCGCATTGCGTGGCGGCATCTCGAGCGGCCTGGGCTGCATCTGCCCTAGCCTACAAGCTCTGCTCATTGCCGGGGTTGGGGGGGGGGATTTTGGGGGCTTCGTGCTACGCCAGTGCGAGTCACGCTCAGCCGTCGGGTTTATTGTGATCTACGGAATGTTGGCCGGTGGGAGAGGAATTTGAGTTTGGTGGTGATATAATCAGAATGATGCGAAATGGGTATTGTGTACACTAGTTGCGCCGGATGAACACCGCTTGTGTAGTACAGTGGGAATGAAATGACCATGCGTCCAGCGCTACCGTCACGATCCAACGAATAAGTCAAGGAGACAATGAATGTAGACGAGTCAATGTAGGTATACGAATTCAAATTGGATGAAACTAACAGAAATGCGAAGGCAATGAAAGAAGATACTCGCGAAGGGCGGACGGACCGGACCATCCGTGAAATAAGAAAAAGAGTCAACCGTCGAGGGGCATATGTCATAGCGTGAAAGAGAGAAAGTGTTGTAGTGAATATGAGAGAAAAAAAAAAAAAAAAAAAGAGAAACGGAAGAGAAGCAACGGGCAAGCACTGAAGAAAGGAAGACTTGCTTGCTTGCATCTTTGTCGCCTTTAGCAGCGAGCAACAGCAACAGCAACAGCATCGGTCCTCACCCCAGAACCAACTTAATCACCGCCTCCGCCGAACAACTCAAGGTATCAACATCATCGGGATTCTGATACGCCTCGGAGCAATCCGAGTCGCCGGCCGCGCACTTGGCCGAGGGGCACGACTCGACGCTCGGCACCGCGGAGAAGCCATACTCGGTGAACCACGAGTTCTCGTCCATGTTGATGCACGAGAGATCCCACCACACGGTCTCGGTTTCCGCCGTGTACTCGAACTGCAGCACCTTGCTCACTTCCTGGGTGGAGGAGAGCTTGATCGAGATACCCCCGCCGTCGGGGTTGGTGCGCCAGCTCTCGGTGAAGGTCCCGCCCGAGGGGACGAGGGTTTGCATCTCGCCCTGCGTGTTGGAGACGGACCAGGCGTAGATCGTGTGGTTCAGGTTGTTGACAATCTCGACGCGACCTCCCGTGCTGCTGCTAGAGGAGGAGGAAGAAGAAGAAGAAGAAGAGGTGGCGACGGCGGAGGAGGAGGGGGTGGCTGAGGCCCAGATGGCGGTCGAGGAGGTCGCGGTGGTGGTGGTGAAGGTGGTGGGTTTCGCAGTGGCGATGGTGGTGGTGTACGAGCCCTGTCCGTGAGATCCAGCCTCTAGGACTTCGGTCACCACCGTGGTTTCGGTCTCAATTTGCACCTCGGTGGCTGTCGGAGGCATGGCAATGGGGACGGCGGAGGCCATGGCCGCGAAGAGCGCGGCAGCGCGGAGGTAGTTGGAGAACAACATGTTGGATAGCGGGTGGATAGTAGAGACTGGACGTTGGTGGTAAGTTATCGACTCAGACGATTTATACCAGACGAAGTGGAAGGAAGGACGATCGAAAGGACGATCTTTGGGTGGGTTTGGTTGTTCAAGGAATGACTTCTGACTGATCGATCTCAGCCAGAGAAGAAAAGAGTGACAATCCCGAAGGAAAGAGAGACAGGATGGAAATTTCCAAGTCAAGGACAGCAGGAAATGCGACGGAGGAGAGGGAGAAGGAAGGAAAAGAAGGTCCAAAGGAAAAGAGCCAGGATCAGACTCTTTATTGACTGTGAGTAAGAACTAAGAGCAGGACTGAGTAACAGCCTACTCCGACAGGCTTAGGGCGCGCGGGCCCAATGCAGCCCCCAAGGCGTGGACGAACATGTTTGGGTCCATTGATTTCTTTCTCCGGTGGACTCCTCCTAACTATGGAGAATACGAAGACTACGGACGGAGTAGCCTCCTATTGACGGACAAGTCTAGCCTGCGAGTTTAACCAGATTGGCTTAAGTGGATGGCGTGGCCTATCAGGCCCAAGTGGGCCCCCTAAAACCCAAAGAGGCGCATCGAACGTGGCAGTGGTTGGTGAATCCAGTTGGGCTCCCCTGACACACCGGCCGAGGTCATCCGTGCATGCAGGAATCATGAAGTTAGGACTAACTTAGAGAAGTGGAGGGACGAAAGAGGAGGATGGGGGAAGAATGAGGGGGGGGAGGAGGAGGAGGAGGAGGAGGAGGAGGAGGGGGGAAAGTGAGATCAGATCGGAGTTCAATTAATTAATTTATTATTGTTTTCGATCGGAATGATGACAGTGAGGGATCTTTCTTAATTGATGGCCCATGCCAGTGTGTGTTCAACCTACTACTGCATAGTGCGTACAGTCAAGTTTGTCAAGGCCAATTGCAAGGTTTTCGGGTTATCGGGAGCTTGTTGGCAGTTGCCGCGTAGTCTAAATGGCAAAATACTCCTGCCCAGTGGGGACGCAAATCAATAGGCTGCCATCCATGGCTGGCAATCCGCTTGGCGCTTCGTCGGCGCGGCAGGAAAAGAGTGAATGAGAGAGAAAAGCCCCGAGAGAGAGAGTGTGTGTGAGTGAAGAAGAGAGAGAGGGAGAGAGAGAGAGAGTGGAGGTGAAAAGAGGAGCCCTAACTTAACTGGGTCTGCAGCAGCCAACTGCCGATGATGATTCCATTCTCTGCCAGAACTCCCACCACCACCCACTTGATTGCAGATTCTGTAACTCACTGGACTTAATTAGTACGGAGTAACTACACAGTAGCAGTGTCTGCCAACCCCCCTGCAAAGTCCCCCCTTCAAGGATGGTCAGCATCTTGAAACACCAAGTGACAAGTGATACATCATATTGCATGCCTTAACTATCCGCACCCCAGCAGCAGCAGGCACTCATCTGACTTGGGGCCAGCCTGTCTGGGCGTCGGTTGGTTGCCAGACCATGTCAAATTTTCCAGGTTCCTTGGTTTTCTTCCCGTACGGAGGAGGAATGGATGTGGATCGGAAGGATAGGATCCGTTGAGCAGGTAAGTTATCGCCACCACGACTCGGCTGGAAGATGCAGGTACGGAGGAGGACCTACTTTTGGGTGGGCGAGTTGGTGCCTGAAAGAAGCGGGTCATTGGGGACCTCAGGCATTAGTTAATAAAGCATTTGTCATCCGATCATGAGCCCCTTTTGATGTCTGCCTTGCTGCCTGATTATCTTCGCCGCCTTGCTTACTAACTTTACTGCCTAAGGCACCAGAGAGATCGATCGCAATCATAAATTCATGTGCAAGTTTGGAGGGATTCAACAGAAACATCATCCTCACTCGGTAGCTACGCATCCAAAAATCTCTGGATCAGCCCATTCTCAAGCAAAACTCCACGCCCACCCTCAACGACGGACTCGCTGCCTCAGTCTTCTCCATCTGGAAAATCCACCCCGACCGACCCAAATTCTCGTTATCGTACTTGTCCGTGAAGAAATCCAGCCGCTTCATGTCGGGTTCTTCGCTGAATCCAGATCTGGCTCGAGCAGACGTTCACCCACTCTCTTTTAGGCAGGATCGCAAAATCGAGCCCTGCCCGCCGCAGCGCAGGGAGCAGATCCTCGGTCCACCGGGAAGTCTGGGAGTTCTGGACGTGATACACCACGCGAGGGTCGCGCGCGTACGGGTCAGCAGCAGTAACAGACTAGGTCGCATACAGGGTCTCAACTGACTACCGGCTCTTGATGACTCGGTCTCCTTACGAATATTGAGTACTTGCTGATCAGTCTTGCCATGACACTCAGTTTGTCTTCCACAGTACTCCTGTCCGGTGCGGGTGGCGTGGAGCTGGGCGGCCACCCGACGCCGTAGACGAGATTGTCCTGCACGTATCGGTTCTGATTCGAGCTGACCTTGGTGGGCAGAACATCTAGCACGACACATTCGTAGGAATCATCTTCGAGCGGGCTCATCTGGATGAAGAGGGCGACTGTGGGCAGTGGCCGGACGTAGTCCCAGGCTTTTTCCCCCGCAGGTCTGTCGGATGTCATCAGTTGTCCTAATTCGGTGCTGTTACCTGGTCAGTACTCGGAGGTGAACGGATGGAGAGGGCTCGCATACGCGCCGTAGTGACTGATCATCCGCACGCTTTGCTCGACGTGAAGATCTCCTAGATCATCTGGACAGCTGCTGCCTCCGAAGAGAACTTGTTGGCATTGTGCCAGTGGCGCAGCACCACCTTCCACTTCACTCAGAAATTTGACACATGTGGCACCCCGTGGAAGCTTTCCGGGGCCGTCACCCGCATCGTCTCGAGCACATGGGTTTCTGTCAACGACAAGTTGGCATTGTAGATCGCTACTGGCTTTTGTTTAGAGAGCGACCGGAAGAAGATCGATAAGCCGTGGTTGTGGTAAAGTGGCAGGGTGAGCAAGGCTCGATAGCCCTTGCTGCTACTGTAGTTGGCGACACACACCCCATGAGTCTGGAAGGTCGGCTTCGGTAAATCAGTCGAGCCCGAGGAGAGGATGATGAATGCCAATGTCTGACTCGACCGAGTGTTGTCGGCAAGTTGTCGGGATGACGCGAAAGCGCCTGGCGTAGGCTGCTTGCTCTGGAATCTTGTAGGTCGTGAGGAACGTGGCGGATTCAACCTTGGTTACGGTCTTTGCGCTTGATTGGGCGTAGAGAAGCTGGGAGCACTTGGTCGCCGATAGAAGATTGACATAGGCTTCCGTACTGAGACGCGTTGAAAGTAGTAGTACCGCATACCCCGATCTTGATAATGCGAACAACGATATAACGCAGTCGATATTAAAGGGCCCAGAATCGCAACGACTCGGATAAGCACTCACCCCCCACTCGGATAAACATCGTTTGAGCCTGGCAGACACCAAGTTTCGGTACGGATCTGTAAGATTAGCAAGGTTCCATTTGGAACAATTCCGACGGCAGTTCCCTCCCAAATAACGTGCCAATTATCCCTGGAGAAAACCATGCCAGAGCATGCCTTCAGCCGAGGAAACCAGTGTATCCCTAACTGACACGGGTCTGTCTTCCAAGACAAGCCGGGAACCCCCGTCTACCAATACTGACGGGTGCAGCCATTTTCAATTCTCGCCACGACAGCAACGCAAACGTGACTGTAATCTCGGGCGGAGGGGCGGGACATGAGCCTTCGTTTGCTGGCGGGGGGAAAAAAAAAAAAAAAAAAAAAAAAAAAAAAAAAAACGACGGTCTGCTCAGCGCTGCTGTCTCCGGATCCGTCTTCGCGCCGCCCAGACTGCGCCGAGCGAGCTTGGACACTGGCTAAGCGCACTGAGCCTGTCTCGGCAGCCAGACGGTGCTCATCTGCTGCCAGATAAAGTGCACCATTAGCTGAAGTTCCGATTGCCTGATTAGTCTCTGGTAAGCATTGCTTTGCGTGGGCTAGGACCATCAGAACCAAGGCACGAATAGCGCGCTTGCCAGGTCCACTGACAGCCAAATCCTGCAGAGGGCTATAGAACTCGGAGACTTAGCCCTCGACCTGCGCCTAATGGAGAAATCGATGGGTCGGAAAAGTGAAGTCGATGTACCGAGCGATCAAGATCTCGGCTTCCGCCCGGGGTGAGAGAAGGAGAAAAGAAGGCAGGGTCCAGCTTCCCCAACGGGGCATCTCCAAAGCTGAAAAAGGGGGCGTTGGTTGGCACGACACTTTGCTCATGCAGTGGCCTTGAGCTCGAATCAGATAAATGTCGGTCAGATGGGCTTCAGGCGAGTTGCGTGAGGGTGGCTCGTTGATCAAACCGTTCTCCCTGGTCGGCGAGGCTGGAGTGGCCAGAGGACAATCCGCAGTGGTCTCGGGGGTGGGAGGCGTGTTTGCCTGTTCATGCAGAGGAAGCTGGGCCAGTTCCCCTCTGTTGTATTCAGCCAAGGTTATAGATCTGGACTAACAACTTCTTATTTCCCATTCATATACACTTCATCCAACATCCCACCCACATGGCAGATATCCGGCTGCGATATGCTGACTGATGGGAAAAGGGGACAAGCTGTGATAGAGCTGCGACGGACTCAGGGTGCTGGGAAAGCAAAGGTTCCTCAGTGAATAGGGTCTCGTGAGGGCCTCGCTTGTGGACCAGCTGCACCATTATCGCATTGTGCACGCGGCCGTGGAAGTCCGCTCTAGCATCCAGACCTAGGAACTTGACTGTCTTGAGATGCTCCACGGACGCATCGAGTGTATGTGTGAAAAGTCTAACCAGCCTAAGGCCTCTGTGGCGTTTATGTTTATCGCCTTGAATCCTCGTGTCTTGAAATGTAGCTTCGTCAATCGAAGGGCTGTGGCAGTCAAACTCGGAAAATGCCAACCCCCCACGGGAGAAGAAACGGAAAAGCCGCTCGGAAAAGGGACCAGCACCAGGTCATTTTCCGAGGCGGGCGCGGATGGCGTCACTTGAGCTGCAAACAAATCGATAAGACCATGGGCCGAATAAATAATAATAATGGGCTTAGTTGGTTTTCCTTCCGTGTGTGCCCATCTCTTCTCCTCTATGCTGATTTCCTTCATACGATCATCTCCTGCAAGATGGCTTCCGGTCGCTCCTTCAAGTTGAACTCTGGTTATGAGATTCCCGCCGTCGGCCTGGGAACATGGGTATGATTTGTAACTTGTCTCCCCATACTTGCAGGATTTGGTATTGACCATGAGGCTACTCTAGCAAGCCAAGCCAAACGAGGTGCGCGATGCGGTGGTCGCAGCTCTGAAGGGAGGTTATCGCCATATCGACGCTGCCGCCATCTATGGCAATGAGCAAGAGGTCGGAGACGGCATCAAAGCCTCAGGAGTTCCGCGAGAGGAGATCTTTGTGCGGGACCCTTACCAGCAGTCGAATCGACCTCAACTGACTGACCCTCACCTGTCATCAGCTCACTAGCAAATTGTGGAACACCCATCACCAGCCGGAACATGTCGCAGCCGCCGTGGACAAGTCCCTTGCCGATCTGCAGACGGATTATCTGGACCTTTACCTCGTAGGGCACGAAGAAAGACGGACATATCAGCTCAGGGTCACTAATGAAATGATAATAGATCCACTGGCCGGTCGCGTTCCGTCATTCCACGACCACTAACCAACCCATCGTCGAGGAGACGGGATTAATCGATGTTATTGACGTGCCGATTAAGGACACCTGGGCTGCAATGGAGGAGCTGGTGGCCAAGGGCAAGATTCGCTCCATTGGGGTCAGCAACTTTACCCGCGAGACGATCGAGGAATTGCTCAAGACGTGTGTATATTCGGCGCCAGCAAGGAAGGACTGGCTGACATCTGCCAGTGCCAAAATCCCGCCTGCGGTGAACCAGATCGAGGCGCACCCCTACCTGCAACAACGGGACTTGCTGGAATGGTCTCAGCAGCAAGTGAGTTCGTTCATCAGTGTGTCAAGGAGGGCTAATTGACCGACCGGGGACTCATGTAGGGCATTGTTGTGGCCGGGTATTCTCCCTTGGGCAACAACATCTATAACATCCCGCGGTTTGTACTGGTTGACCGGAGTGGCCAGGAGCTATCATTGCTGACACGTAACAGAGCGGTCGACGATCCACTCGTGATTGCAACTGCTAAGAGTCTGAATAAGACTCCGGCGCAGGTGTTGATCAGCTGGGCAGTGCAGCGTGGTACTGTCGTGCTGCCCAAGTCGGTCACCCCCGAGAGAATCCAGAGCAACTTCGAAGGTACGCATGATCCAGACTCTAGCCGGTGGCATAGCATGTCCGTCTAACGAGTGAGCTGTCGTCCCAGACTTCGTCCTGTCCGAGGAGGCGTTCAACGCGATTCAGTCTCTGGAAAAGCACCAGCGAATGAACTTCCCTGCCCGTCTGGGAGTGGATATCTTCGGAGAAGTTGGCGAAGAGAGTGCTCGGAAAAGCGCACTGGCATGGGCGGACGAGCAGAAGCGGCTCAAGGCCCAGGCTTGATGCATCGAGTACTGCACAGTTGTAGAGACTAGATGCCTTGAATGCCACAGTACATAGAACCATATACGATGATTATCCGAGTCCGATATTACTTAGCTGTTCGTATGATAGACGCTTGACCAAGACCACCAGGGCAAAATTTGTGCCACATCCCCCCAATGAATCTGCCTCGCTGAGGATTCCCTGTCGACACAATGGCAATGCCGGTGTCGAGCGCTTGGAGCCGATTTCGGATAAGAGGAGACAGATCAATACCTCGTATCCGACTCAGTAGCTCTTTTCCGACCCAGGCCAGCAAGGGACAATCGGAAACCATTGTGGTCTTGGTTAATGCGTGACATGCTGATCGGACGGGCGAGCGTTACCTGCACCTTGTCCTGCCTCCCATTCCAGCGCAATGCGCATCATGCTGCCGGGCATCTCTTCCAGTTATGTGGTGGCACTGGGCTATATTCCCAACAGTACGGTGCACTCAACTCTATAGTAAGAAGAAGATGGATTGAAATGCCCTAGTCCTTCCTCGTCCAGCTACGGAGCGCGCTGCAACTCTGGCTCTGATGAATTGCCTGAGCACTGTTGGTTAGATTCGAGTATGTTGTCTACAGCGTCAATACTGAGAGAGCGTCTAACCCATGCCGAACAGATTCGGCATCACCGAGATAACTCACTGCTTTTAGTGTCAACCCCACGATGTCTTCGATGACCATTCCATTTGTCACGATCCCACGCCTATTACCTTGGGCGATTGAACAAGCGACTGGACCGCGAAGAGGGAATCGATATGGGGCCAACGAGTGACCAGGGACACGAGAACGAGCAACATGGGCTGCCTGGCCAGGCTGTGAGTGGGGGTTTAGATTTCTACTGTAGATAAGAGACGAGATCTGACTTCAAGATCTTCCAGGAGCACATGAATCGTCGTGCATGGATTGAAGCTAAGGTTGCACTTGAGCGCATTCTCATGAGCTAGAGATGGCCATTGAAAATCTCTCCAGGGCCTAGAGTCGGTTCCCTTGATTTGTTTATGATCAGCTCATCGCTGGAGGCGTTAAAACTAGCGATGCAAGTGGGGCGTTATTCGTGTTGGCTCCAGTTTCAGGGCAATTCTTCCCGAGGCCGGACACGCCGACCTCCGAAGATGAAGCCACCCCAAGCCCCGGCATGTGGTTAAAATCCACTGTCCATGGACTGATAAATACCAAAGGAGACCCGGGGCTGACATGGGTCTTTCGAGTAGCCTTTGTTCCGGCGCTGTGCCAATTCCCTCCGGGGCCTCAGTGACCATTCCGCTCTTTTGACCCATTGCAACTGTGCGTTATCTTCGACTCACCCTCGTTTGTACCCCGAAGATGAAAGTCGCTCATTCTGTCCGGGCACTGACCTGGTTGATCGGTTATGGCATTGCTGCTGTTCAGGCCCGCGACATTGACGTCTGCACCCAAGTCGCCCGCGATGCAGTCGCCAATGGCGATTTTACCGACGATTCGGCTTGGACCTCCACCTCCAGTGCAGATGAATACTCTATTGTAACCAGCGGTGGTGGTGTCAATGGTGGGGGCTATCTGTAAGTTCAGCCACTCGGTCCCAGTAGCCGTCACCAGTCCCCTTCTAATGGGTCATATATAGAGAGGTTCCATATAGCACCGCGCAGAATGGCTTCGTGTTCGAGCAGACTGTCTCCCTCCGCGAGGGCCCCTACTACCAATTCAACATGTACACCAATCTGTTCGGAGAGGAAGATGCAAGCGGACACTTCCCTTACTGTACCTTTGATGTCTATGCCGTGACCGATGAGACCAGCAGATTTGTGACCTACGGGAACATCTGGAGCCCCGATGGAAGTGCCACCGGATGGGAATTGTTAATGGGACAATGGAAGTCCACGGCCACCGAAGCGACTCTCCGATTGAGCGTCACCTGTTCCCAGGCGTCCACAGCCACGCTGCAGATCTCGGATATCTCGTTTCTGGGACCCGAAGTGGTCTGTACCTCGCAGTGCGCGGCCTCCACCATGACCCTGACCGATGAACTAATACAAGACGGCGATTTCTCCGATGACGATAGCACGGAATGGCGCAATATGATACGATCGACGGACCTGGAGTTGGTGGCCGATGATGTTCCAGGAGGCGGCCAATGCGTGTTCATCCCCGGGGCAACGTATGATTTCTATCAAATCAACCAGACGATTGCCGATGCGCAGATTGGACAAACGTATGTGGGATCGGTGTCTTGGAGACTCAAGGCAGAGAGCTATGACTCCGATGTCGCGGTTTCGTGTAGCCTCGACTACCGACTGTCTCACGATGCCACGGGGCTTTTACTGGATGTCATCCACGATGAGGTCACTCTGTCATCTGCAGACAGTGGGTGGATGACAGTGAATGGAAACTGGGAGGCCACAGTTGCCGAGTTCGAGCTTCTCATCACCGTGGAATGCGATACGGATGATTATGCCTATCTGCCTGATATCGAGATTGCGAACGTTCACATGAATGTTCAGTCCGTGAGCTGCGCCCTTCCGACTTCCTCGGTGGTAGTAGTAGCCAGCTCAACTCCTCCGGCAGTTTCATTGTCTGTCATCGCCTCCTCTGCATCGGTGGCCTCCTCGGCCATTGCCAGCCCCAGTGCCAGCACCAGCCCTAGCCGTGCTGCTGCATCCTCTCCGGCATCGGTTACACCCAGTGTGATGGTGTCTTCCATGCCAATTCCCTCGTCAGCAATTGTCAGTCCCAGTCGTCTTCTATCTTCTCCAGTCTCGGACGTTGGAGTGTCCTCAACACCTGCTGCACCGTCGTCTGTGGTGAGTCGCAGTCGCATCGCTGTTTCGTCGTCTGTGGTGAGTCGCAGTCGCATCGCTGTATCCTCTCCTTCTGCCATCCCCCCCACCTTCACTCCTGTGACGACCTCTGTCAACGTTCCGGTTTCAGTGTCCAGATCCTCTGCAGTAGCCGCGATATCGCCGTCTTCTTTCCTTTCTTCATCTGTGCCATCTCCCATCCAGAGCCATGCACAACCGGAAACAATCCACGAGGTGATGCCAGCCTCTAGTACGACGCCCCTTGGTGGGTCCTCCCTGGACGTGATATCCACCAGGACTATCCCAGGCCCTGATTCCACGACTATCCTAACCTCTGATTCCACGACATCACTCTCTACGGGGCTCGCCTCTACCACTTCCACGGTCTTTACAACCAGCACTGCTACCATCACTGCGTGCCCTTCTACTGTACCCAACTGTCCTGCCTCCCAGATGACCACGTATCTCACGACTGAGACGATCCTTGTCTCGACCACGATCTGCCCCGTCACAGCAACGGCCACGGCGGCTGCTGACGGCTCCTACACATCCACGATCCTGACCACCAGAACCATGACCATCACCTCTTGCGCTGCTACTGTTACCAACTGTCCGGCTCGCTCTCAGAGCACGTTTCTAAGTACTCAGACTTTGGTAGCGGGGACCACGGTTATTACGACCACTACAGCTTCAATCCCGGCTTCGACTGGTTCACCTGATACTAGCGAGACCATCTCCGCATCTCACTATTCTCAGACGGTGGCTGTCGGGGCTGGTGTTGGCACTGTTGCAAATGGCCAAGGAAGTACCAAGACGACCGGTGCTGATGTCCAGCAAACTGGTAGTGCCACATCCTCGCCCAATCAGGGTACTTCCAGCGAGAGCTCGTCTGGTTCGACTGAGAGTGGGGCTCATGCTACCAACCCGAATAATTCTGGCTATACTTCTACCTCTAGCGCGGAGGACACATCAGGAGTGGAACCCGCTGGTGGTCTAGCTTCTGAGTCCACATCTTCATCCGGGTCGAGCTCCGATTCTGGCTCTATCCCAGCCCTAGCTTCGGGTTCAGACTCCGCAGGCTCCACAGGCGCCTCCTCAGGCTCGTCTTCAGGCTCCTCCTCAAGCTCGTCTTTGGGCTCCTCCTCAAGCTCATCTTCGGGCTCCTCCTCAAGCTCATCTTCAGGATCCTCCTCAAGCTCGTCTTCAGGCTCCTCCTTAAGCTCATCTTCAGGTTCTTCCGGTGCTGCATCGGGTGTTTCTTCCAGCTCTTCAACTACAATCTCTTCCGATTCTACTGTCGGCGTGTCTTCCGAGTCTGCGCCAGAGTCTTCATCGACAGTTGGGTCTTCTGCCAACTCGGAAGGGAGCGACAACTCCGATTCCACTTCTGGTTCTACCCCCCAGCTCAGCTCTACCGCTGGTCAGAATGCAGACTCTACCCCGAACGCAGTCTCCAGCAATACCGCACCAAGCACATCTGACTCGATCTCCGGCTCTGACTCCGCCCAGACAGCCTCATCCTCTTCGGCATCTGACTCGTCATCAGACGGCTCTTCTATCTCCACCTTCAATTCCAACTTAAATGACGACTCCGACGTCCCAGCTGTCCCCAGTCCAGACGCACCTGAAAACAGCCAAAGCAACGGAGCGCCCAACGCATCCCCCTCTGCATTTGCATCCAGCGCAACCTCTCTCAAACCATCTCTCAGTACTCCTGTGACATCCTTTGCGACGGTCAAAGCGACGGCGCATGGTTCGGCCGCGCAGGGACCTTCCAGCACAGCTAGCGCGAGTGGTGCCGTGTTCACTGGCGCGGCTAGTACGTATCGGGAGCATGTTTCTTCCGTCTGCGGGATTGTGATGGCTGTTGGTCTTCTGGTTCTGTGATAAGAGCTTTTCATGTTCGGGGGGTTTGTGGTGTTGTTTTGTGTTGTTGTTGAAGGTCGTCATGTTTCACTGGAACGTAATGCGGTTCCGCTGTATTTTAGGCACTGCGTCAAAGGCAAGCAATAACTAAGCGAGTCGCAACACCTTCACGCGTAAGAACCAATCATGATCTTGAGATACCTAGGTGGGATGAGAGAGACTGAAGTCATCTCGCCAAAGATTCTGGTTGTAGAGCAGTATCGATAATGGCTATAGGCAGACTACGAGTGCAACACGGAGCACTCCACCATCACGCGAAGGTAGTAGCGCCACGTCTCTATGAGGCCAACCCTAAGCCTCCTGTAGCTCGAGCGAGAAATATAGATCTAGCACACCCTGAATCAAGTACGACCCGATACGGGGTCAGGCTCCTATAGACCAATACCCACCCCCCACGATGGGTCTGCATCTAGATCACTCATGTTATACCACCCGCACATCGCTTGCAGACTCTCCAAAGAAAGCATCCAATTGGAGTCCGAGCTGGCGCTCGAGGCCTCCGGCGGCGTGGCCGATGTCTGCGTCTCGTCCCCGTGGGTCAGGCTAGGCGGCCCACCGGAGGTCGTACTCGTACTCCCCCGGGAGCGCAAGTTAGCTTTTGCAGGGGCGAGACCCAGCACGTGGCTCGCGATCGTCTGGATCTCGCGCACATTTTTTGCCGTGCGGGGCCAGATCGCGCCCAACGTCTTGAGACACCCGATGATCATGCGCATCTGGTCGCGTGCAATGGCTAAATCCGTCCCCGCTAGGAGGCAGTAGCAGGCGGAGAGCAGCGAGAGAGCGCCGTCGCTGATCATGCAAGTGACGAAGGGGGTGTGGTGGAATCGTTGCAGGGGTAAGGCTAGGAGACGGAATTGGCCTTCGACTGCGCGCAGAACCCGGACAGTGTGGACGTTGACGAGCTCGTGGGTGGGGCCGTCCGGAGGTGGGTCCCGCGCGCAGCTGGACAGATCCTCCACGGGATTGAATTTCAGGTCGGAAAACGGTCGGTGCAGGCCGATGAAGGCACTGGGAGGTGGTGGTGAGTATGGTGTAGCTTGGAAAGGTCCACCCGGGACAGGCTTCGGCTTACACGTAGATTAGCAAATGGGCTTGGAACATGAGCTCGTCAATCTCGCCCGCCTTATTCATGAGCTGTTTCCGGCCTGGCGGTAAAAGCAGAAGCCATCCATCGAGCATCGAGTCCGCTGTCTGAATGATCCGCGTCGAATCTTCCTTGACCGTGTTCCTGGGGGCGGCACGGATCGCCAATGCGGCACATCGCGCGGCACTGATGAGATAGGCAAATGAAGAAAAGACGGGCTCATCGACGGCAAATTCGCGGCAGTCAAAGTCTTGCATGGTTTTGGGAGGCGGGATCTCCTATGCCGGGGTGAGCTCGGAAGGTCTGGCGCTGCATGTTTGGTGGGTTGGTGAGTTGATCCACTTACCCCCGACTCATATTCACCCTCCTCGCACGGCAGTCCTACCGTGGCCTCGATCTCCAGGAACGCGAACGTTACTGTCCCGAGAGTGCCCGCGAAGAATAAGTCCAAGACGTAGGCCGACCACCAGGCTCGCCTCCAGCATTCCTGCAGGATGGGGTCATTGCCCCCATGGACCCTTGCGCATTGCGGCTGGTACATCTGTAGCTCCAACACCAGCTTTCTCGCCATGTCAAGCTGTGACAAAGCTTTCTCTTTGTGGCCCTGCCAGAACAAGACTATCGCATAGAGAAGTCGGGACGGAACCAGGACTGGGTCGAGTGGAGAGGCTTGTGCCAAAGAAGCCTCGGCTTGTGCTTCTAGGGAATCTGACCACCGATGCGCATGATAGATGTGTCCGATGCAACACATCACGTTGATCAGGGGTCTCCATCGGACTTCCTGGCTGGGATCCCTCAAGAGGTTTCGGAAGTGCGTCTGGGGGAGAGCATACGGATGTAACGAGTGAAAGTGGCGATAGTACGAGTCGAGCAGCACCGACTGATCGGATTGAGATGTTTGTGCCCGAGCAGGCAGCGGAATCGGGGACTCTGGTTGTTCAGTAGTTGTTGGTGGGATGGGGTTGAGCAAGTTGGTCTCTGATGCCACCGCGGCCAAGCGCTGGCGGCGTTCGGCGAGGGCAGCCCGGTCCAGTCCCCCCCGCCGCGAACGGATATATTCACATGGCTGAGCCACCTCCAGACAGCGACTGCACGAGGGTCGCTTCCCATCGCATTTGAGATGGCGACTCCGACATGAAAGACAGGCCAACGATGAGCGAGTCAGTCGGGGATTCATGGGCGATTGTATATATTCGTGTATGGCACAGATGGAGATGAGAGGATAAGAGTTGAATGATGGATGGATGGATGGATGGAACAATCAGTGCATAAAATTGTGGAGAGGGAGGAATGTGTCAGCTGGCCTAATAGGGACTAGTGCCGGGAACCCGGGTTTCCCCCGCGGGTATCCATTATATCCATTACAATACCCGGGATACCTTACCGTATGGTCTGACTACTATATATAATACTGCAGGCTACGGAGCATATTGCTCGATAACGGAGTTACATGAGTGGTGAATTAGAAGGCCTTTACTTTCTTCATCGAGCCATGATAATAGGTTCAAAGAGCAGAAATCAAGCCCTCCCTAACAACACCGATTGAACTCCATTAGCAAACAGCATTTTCGCATACCCCCAATGAAATAATTTCAAAATCTCAGGCGCACCAGGTTGGTTCGTCTGCGGATTACAATGAAACCCTAGAAGCTCGATCTGAACTCTGGTCTCGGTGGATGAACCTATCTTACACTTGCCTTCTCCCTGGTGCGCTCTCGTGGTGGTGATCTGAAATCGGTGGCAGCCAGCAAAGGAAGATTTATCCGACCCAAAGCCATAGTCAACCCAGCTCGTCCTTTGGTCATTCTCTATTAGCTCCGACTGGGGACCGATGTGCTTGTCGAGCACCATGAAGGTGCCGAATAGACAAGTGCCGATCGGATGGAGGTAGGAGTCAGAGACATCCACCTGCCGCCAGAGAGTTCGGGCCGCTTGGGCGTCTCGCGTGAAACCTGGGGTACACATGCCATCGTAAGCTCTGTTGGCCCTTGATCTGATTAAGAGGTGATATGCAGACCGGTGTATCCCACGGGTAAGATCCTCCCCCCGGCCGCCGTCAGCAGCAGCCACTCCAGGGCAAAAACGAAGCCGCCAAAAAAGCCACTCGTGAAAAGCGCAAGAACCTGTTCATCGCTGCGTCCTGCTATCCAAGAGCTGGGAATGGTCTGGGTGATGCAATCGCCGCCGGTGGTGTGCTGACGTGGATTAACATAGCGCGCACTGGACGAGGTGAGAAACTCGGGGCGCACCGCAGCCGTCAAAGAGGAGTGGAAGAGAGATCGAAAGAAGGATGCGCGAGGAATCAATCGGGTCGGCATAATGACTCTGCGAGTTTAAGATTCATGAAAACATTGTGATCGTAGTTAGTGAAAGGGGATCACCTTGCTCATAGCTCACTATTTATTGTTGTTCTTAGTGCATCCTTCCGCCGATCTTCTCCGACTCTCTCTTCCGACTTTCTCCTGCATGACTCATGAAGAATGCGATAGTTATGAGTTGTATAGCACCTTTTTTATGTGTATTACGTAAGTTAAGCCAGCAGCAGTAAATAAGTTACTTTTGATAACCTACTTACGTCACTTATTTGCCCGGGTCTGAGTTGTGGAAGATTCTCTATATGGTCAGGGCAAGTCTGCTCTGATTCTGCTTCCCCACAGCAACATACCGACATACTGAGATTCCAGAAGACTCCTGCGAGTCGATGCCGGCATAGGAGCCGATAGGCATATACATTGTCTCTATGCATCTAGTTACTCGGATTTTGATCGTATAATTCATCGAAAACAAGTACCTAGTTGAAGAGCCAGAAAGCTGCGCGTCGACATGGTAGAGCCGGGTTTGTCAAGATTGGGGTTGGCTAAGCACCCTAACAGAGAGGGGGACTGCAGCATCACGGTTAGTTGCGGAGTTGGGGTCAGGCAACGGGGAAAGAGTCAGTCTGAAGGCTCAAGGAGGAAGATCATCACTCGAAAAGTGACGAATCTCGTTAGCTTGCAGGCTCTTGGGCATTTATCCGGCTGTTGCGCGGGGGTTTCCACCTTTTCTGCAGGTCCCCTCCCAATCCCCTCGCTTATCCGTCATGCAATCTAATTTCTCCATAAATCATCGCTTGCACAAGGACATCCCCGGATAGTCGAAATGCAGTACCTTGCAGATCTCCAACTCCTCCCCCGAGTCATTTCCCGGTGGAATCTTCACTTCTTGCGGGGTCGTCGTTCTTCATGGACCGTCTTGTCTAACGCCTACCCATTTCAAGGGGAATATAAGAGGCAGGAATCGTCATGGCATTTTTCTTTGACCGGATCTCGTGTGCACAGAGGGTGCTGAAGTCCCCACATTATTCAGGATGCATCTGACTTCCCTATCAGTCTGGGCCGCGACTTGGCTCGCCGGGCAGACCATCGCTCTTGACTTGACCGTTTCAAAGACTGGCGGTAATGCATCGAGCCCTCTACTCTACGGAATCATGTTTGAGGTGAGTGCTTGACGGTCAGTAAAAACCAATATGTCTGACTTTGTGTCCTATGCAGGACATCAATAATTCTGGTGAGGCTTGTCGCACGATCAGTACCATAAATATGATTGTCGCGACGGACTAACGCAGACATAGGCGATGGGGGCATTCACGGCCAAGTGCTCCGCAACAACGGCTTCCAGGGCACCAGCCCTGGCTTGACGGCATATGCTGCGGTAGGCAATGTCAACATCACACAGGACACATCCAACCCTGTGAGCAGCGCTATCACCTCCTCCCTCAAGGTCTCCGTACCGTCAGGGACCACCGGCTACGTCGGCTTCGCCAATACGGGATATAATGGCGTGCCGGTACTGGCCACGACATATAGCAATTCGTTCTACATCAAGGGAGCCTACTCCGGCACGGTCAACCTTCGTCTGGTCGGAACCTCCAGCGGAATCGTCTATGCGGACCATAACATCACAGTGACAAGTACTGCAGCCAAATTCACCTCCTACGAGACCAGCTTCGAGTCTAGCCAGGCTGACGATGCCAACAATGAGTGGCAACTACGGTTTGACGCCTCCAAGGTGGCGGGGAAGTCTCTCAACTTTGGTCTCGTGCAGCTATTTCCACCCACGTACAAGTCGCGGTGAGTCTATGAATACTCCTATGCTTCCACTGACCATATTCGTGACTGAGACGGGCTGATGCCATTCAGAACGAATGGCTTGCGGAACGACGTGGCGAGCTTTCTGGCTGAGATAAAGCCCTCTTTTCTGCGGTTCCCCGGAGGTAATAACCTGTAAGCACCGTTGAAGTCCAAGCATAATCCGTCGCGACCCTAATCTCGCGGACTGGCAGTGAAGGAGCTTCTCCTAGCAATCGGTGGAAGTGGAATGAGACAATTGGGGCAGTGGTCAACCGTCCAGGCCGACAGGGTATGCTCTGTCCGTAATCTCTTAGCTGCATAGAGTCTGACTGTCTAATCGTTTGCAGGGGATTGGACGTATGCAAACACTGATGCACTGGGTATGTACTCGATTCAATGACCTGACGAGTACGCCCTTCGGGAGTCTAACGTGATCAGGTCTGGATGAGTACCTTTACTGGTGTGAGGATATGGGGATGGAGCCAGTCCTCGCCATCTGGGACGGACTCTCTCTCGGGGGCGGCATTGTGACGGGGTCCGCACTGAACCCTTACATTGATGATGTTCTCGATGAACTCGAGGTTTGTAGCATCCATCCATCCTCCTAGGAAGTCCCCGACTGACACTGAAGGTGAGTACGTGCTTGGTTCAACATCCACCCAGTACGGCGCACTGCGAGCCAAAAACGGTCGCAGTGAGCCCTGGCCCGTCAAATATATCGAGATTGGCAATGAAGACAACGAGAGCGACGGGTGCAGCACTTACGCGAGTCGGTTCACAGCATTCTATGATGCCATTCATGCCCAGTACCCAGATCTCACCATCATAACCTCGACAACTTCGAGTTCGTGTCTGCCAACGACATTGCCAGATGGCGTCATGACTGATATCCACCACTACCTCTCGCCCGACTCCTTCGTCGCGCAGTTCGACGAGTTTGACAACTACTCTCGGGATCATCCCATTCTGGTGGGAGAATACGCCAGCACGACTGGCAATGACGGAAGCACCACTTACTGGAGCTACATGCAGGGCAGTTGTGCCGAAGCGGTGTATATGATCGGCCTCGAGCGGAACAGTGATGTTGTCCAGATGGCCAGTTTTGCGCCTCTCCTGGAACATTTTGACTTGGCTGAGTGGTCGGTAAGGCAGCAATTGACCCCCCTAAACCGTCAATGGAATGGTGGCTGATGTAGTTGGTCGACAATAGCCGGATCTCTTCGGTCTCGATTCCAGTCCCGATTCTATCACCGGGTCGACCTCGTATTATGTCCAAAAAATGTTCTCCACCAACCGGGGAACGACCATACTTCCGGTCACCAGCTCGGGAGATTTTGGACCTGTATACTGGGTCGCCTCGGTGTCGGATGAGCAAGTCTACTATGTAAAATTGGCAAATTATGGCTCGACAGCTGAGAATGTGACGATCACGGTGGCGGGAACCACCCATGGGTCCTTGGAGTTGTTGACTGGCGGCGAGACGGTCAGCAATTATCCTCACGATATCTCCATTACTCCTACCACGTCGACTGTGTCAGGCAATGGAACCTTCAAAGTGAGTCTGCCAGCCTGGGCGGTTGCTGTGCTTGCCGTCTCCTGAAATATTGAAACGATCGCGGTATTGGAAGATGCGAACAACTCTTTGTGAGACAAGGATTGAGATTCATAGTTCTAGCACAGGCTTTTTCAGTTGAGTCGATGTTAACTTGCTTGATCGTTCTTTGCATGGAGGGTAGTCCAGCTCGAATAAACAAAGGAATGGTGATATTTACCATCCATAGACCTGGCTGACTAGCGCTTGGTGCATGTTCGACAGCTCGTCACACATGTTTCTCCAATGATTTTACAATTCCGTTCTCACTGCGCCCTGCTCTCCCTCTGTACGTTTCAATGTCCCGTGGCAACAATGACTGCGTCAAATGTCTCGGTTCACCCGTAATCCTGAGGGTTTCCTCGGTGCAGCGGGCTTGATTGGCGCATGGTAAGCTTCCATCTCGCGCCAATCTTCTCGACTCGTTCAACTGTCGTGCTCATGGAGACAAGATTGAGGTAGGGCCAAAAGAGATTCTCAATATAGTTTGTCACAACGGCAACAGGGCGAGAAGCATTGGCGGGGCTGAGCTGTTTGATGGAAGCAGCGGAGTTGGTGTCGGGGAACGGAGTGTGCATGAAGGCCATGGCTTGAGCACCGACATTGCTGTCCCGATGAGTATCGATGCCAGTGCGAGCGGTGGTGGTCTCTGGCAGGGGAGGAGTGAATGAAGGAAGCGAAGAAAGCGTTGAGTCGAAGGCATCAAGGGGGGAATTAGGGCTGGGGAAGGGGTCCGGTGTCGGATCATAGTGCCAAATCCCCCCTACTCGTTCGCATCGCTCGCATACTCGGACTACGTCGAAAGTATCCTCATCCTGAAGAGCTTTAATGGCAGAGAGTCCAGAGGGATTCATTGCCAATCGCGGCAACGCGACGCTATCGGGGGGACATTGTTGGCTTCTAGTGTCCTGCAACCATCACACAAGGCCGATCTTGCAGCCAGCCACACTCTTCCCACTGTTTGGCTAGTGTCGTTCTGACAATGTACCCCCACTCAACATGACCAGACTGGAGTACTGGTAAACTCCGCTTCAGGGTTGTCTAGCTCCAATGCTGACCATCTGATTAGTACGACAGAGGAATAAACAAAAATGGGGTCTCCCATTCTTCTTTGTCTGGAATTTCAATTCGGAGAGCTTCCAATCCCGTGCTCTCGAAGCGGGATATATCACCAAAGATACAAAGGAAATTAGCGACTTGTACAGAAAATACAAAATATCTGCTCGAAGTGCAACGGTAGTTTTCAAGCGACAGACGACATATTAGGGAATCCTCAGCACCCACGAGAGATGCCGACTTGCCAGATAGTTCTATAAATCGTGACGGAAAGGCCGTACGACCTCGCCCATGTGCAACTGCAAATTGTGACTCCCCCCGTTATATAGCATGACGGACATCAAGTTCCCTTCTCTCGGTGGTGTATACTTCAGGATCGAGGGCTCGACCAACCGGTACGGGATCATCGGGGGCGTTATACAAATTCACGGCAGCTTCTGCGTCCTAACCAGCGTCGTACCCTTCCTGGATCCTCAAAATCCTAATCAGATCGCCCTTCACCGCCGCCAGATCTTCGAAGTAAGGACCGGACGGTGTCTTGGTCGAATTCCGGATCATCCAGCTAACCCGGCGCAGGCCCACCCCAAGTGTTGGAGTCGTGAGCAGGGCTGGGTCTTCGTGCCTCTGTACCGCCGACACCGGGAGTACCCCAGCAATTATGGGATTGAAGTGCCTCACCGGTTGCTCGAGAACGGGGTCCGGGTACCGGCTTGGATATACCAAGCCGAACGAGGGGACGTGGCATGTTGGCGGGACCGCGATTTGAGGGCGTTAGTCGCGGATGCCCTGCCCTTTGACCCCATAACACTGCGAGTGGAAGGATATGGAGAATTAGTCGACGCGGGGATAGGGTCTGTCGATGCTTATCGCATGCACATCTCGGTTCCATACTTTGAACTCAACGGGGCCTGGGTGTATGACGCCGATACACGATATCCTGTCGCAATGATCATTACTGGCATGGACCCCAACGAGGATCCCCATACAGTGTTCGCGGTGGACCTTGGTACCATCTTAAACGGGATTCGACGTCGGTATCCAAAGGATGTCAGGATCCCATGCCGTGCCGGCGAAGTTGACGCCAGGGATACTTCAGTTTAACTAGGAAAAATTTCAAGACACAATCCCGCCTGGAGGACTTACAAAATAAAAGAACGGGGTTTTTTGGAGCAGAAACATGCAGCAGTAATATCAATAGACAGATCCTGATGGAAGTACTGGTCATTGAGGGTTAGATGATTTCATAGAACAGGATGGTACCTTAACCTCCTCCTTTAAAACCAGTATCTACTGGTACCCAACAACCAACTTCCTTATCCTCTCCTCTCACCCAACCTCCTTTTGCTTAACCCTCCAATCCCATCTTGCTTGCCCTCTCAAATTCACTCATGATGTCTGAGCATATATCTATAGCCTTTGTCGCATATGCCCCAGCAGATTTATCTCTGGGTTCCCGAGGACGACTGGACGGGGATGGTTGAGCGACAGCAAAGACGGCGATTGCAGAACCGATTACACTAAACCGACGGGCCTATCGTATATATAATGATTCATCCTCCTCCCCACGGGACCCTTGCTCAATCTTCCACTGACTTGTACTGAAACACCCAGGGAGGAAACGGAATGCAGCCCTGCAAGGTCCTTTACCTGCATCGCAGCCTCAAACCGAACCTCTGTCTCACTCCTTGGTTCATGAATGCGGTCAGAGATGTTACTACTCTGTCTTTACCTTCTAACTCTAGCTAATCTGGGCCGCCTCATCGGTGTCTGTCTTTCTCACTTTGGACCTCCTGGGATACGTCATGAATTGGCGTTTCGTGTGGCAGCGATGCATGCAACACCAGAGCAAGACAACAACCACCCCAAGCAACAATCCCCCTCCAATCCCAGCCAGCAACCCGATGACGAGCGAGCGATAGCGACTAAACCATGAGTTTGATTTCTGGCTAGTGCCGTTCTCGGCGTCCCCGTCGCCGTAGCCGTCGGTTGGGATGTCGTTCGGGTTGTGAGTGCTGGCAGACGCCAGGCACGAGGTCTGAACGCGTTCGTCTCCGATCAACCTGCACATGTTGCTAATACTACACAGCGAAAATGTGATTTGGTGTCGAGATGAGGACGGGTTCATGAGATATGCACCCGAGGCGCTGCAGGTTCATCGCGACAAGGGACAGCATTCCTCGTCTGAAGTGCAACCATCAGCATCACAATCGTGTATCGCTCCGAACATATGCCCGGACTCATGACTATTGAAACCAGCAGATTAGCCTCGGTCATAATACTGAAGCATAAAGGATGGATGCGAAAACCCACGCAAAAACCTGCCACTGATTTGTGGTGCGCACCACGACATTGACACCATGATTGACGTTGCATAGCTGCCCGACAAGAGACACTCCAACGCAATTGTTGGTAGGACAGTCACTCAGCAGGGTTTAGTAGGCATTGGTCTCATCTTGGGACTGTCTCCACAGCGCGAATTGAGCAAGACGCCAATTGATATCTCCTGCGGAACATGCCGCATTCCAAGGGGTGCTGCTGGAGCCATGTTCGGGGCAACCTTCGTCGCTGATGGTGAGATTGCGGATGGCGAGCGAAATGTTCAAGTTCCTCTCAAACACTTCGGAGGCTGCGTTGACCATCCCGAGTATCCCTCGTCGCATCTCTTCAACTGACGCGAATGCGGCTCTGTACGCGCAATCGGTAGCTAGGCCGATGAGGGCAATTTTCGGTGTGGTTGGACATCCATCCCTGCTACCAATACTCTGATTTATCTCCCTGTAGTCCCCCTGATACTGGCGCGGCATAGTCGCAGTGTGCGTGATTGGTCCCCCAAGGTCAGAAGCGATCGCAGAACTAGATGGACCCCCCTGTAGTATGCCTTGATCGCGCATTTCCCGCAAGTATGTTAGAGCGTCAGTAGCTCCAATAATTTCCATTTGCGCATTAGACTGATTGAGGCCGTATGCAGCTCTAGTGCTTGGTTTGAGCCCGAAATTCTGGTTGAACAGACCCACGTTGCCCTCGAACAGGAGATTATTCCCGTCATTCAGCAGATATATCCGCGCCCTTCCAGCTAAACACCATGAGCCGTTAGAGAAAGACACCCAGGCCGTTCCATGAAATATTCTCCCCTGCTCCTTATCTAGCGATTCGATCTGCTTCAGCGCTCCATTGGTATCAAGGTATCGGATGTAGGCATCCGACGGAAGGATAACACTATTGGGCTTTAGCTGCAGCTGAATCTTGCTATCATGCTTGGCGACTGCGAACGTAAGGTTGAATCGTCCTGTCGTTTGGAAACTAGGGCTGGAGATTTCCAGGCGAACATCGTTGAGTGGAGCTGCATGGTCAGGTTTCCGGACCCGAGTCGAGTGACCTAGAAGGGTCAGCCCATGGAGGCATGCGCAGGACTGCGATCTCTCTCCTACCTGTCACACTATGAATCACGAACAGGATGCCTAGCACGAGAGCACGAAATAGATACATCGTTGTTTTAGGAGCACAGGTCTTGATTTCCGACTGGCCATATCCCAGCATTCTCTTGCCTCCCAAGTCCCCGGGCATGATCTGTAAAGTTATCTCAGTGACGAGCTTGATGACTGCCCAGACCTTGCACCGGGCCGTGATCTCCTGCAACCAAGTGATTTCGAAACTATTTGGCAACACTATTTTAGCACCCAGTAAACGAATTTCTCGATATCGAACGTAGGTAGATGTCATCGGGGTTCGCGCCGGGCTTAGGTATTGACAGAATCTGATTGAGGTCAAAGAGGCGCAAAGCCACAAATCTTATGCAGATCTAGCTACACTTAGATTGAAGTTGGGAATAGAGGTGTGGTCCCGAAGACGGTTCCTGGCGAGTATGCAATGACTCATGACGGGAAGCAATTGCCTTATGGTGAGGAAAGCGTTTTCATGGGTTTCCTCCGGCAAACGTAATGATGACTGATTACCGAGGCTTTACCCAAGTGTCATCGCGAGGATCTTGTCTGATGTCCTTGGGCGTTGCAGTGGAAACATGATACAGCCGTGGATTGAGACCCTTTCAGACTCGGCTGGAGAAAAGGTAGGGCACGGAAGGCACGCTAACTAATGTATCCTGCTGACGCCAACCAGCTCCACATGCTGACAGTCAGAGGATCTCCACTTCAGAGACGCATGTCGGCTCCATTGGATTTGCAGGTGAAAATATGGTCACTGAAAAATAGCTACTACTCCGGAGTGCCAGTGTTTACGTAACCTGAATGCGGAGTAGATTGAGATTCCTCGAAGCACATGAACAAGACCATCTACATCGAGTTGAGACGAGTTGCCTACCAAGGAGAGATCTCATTGATCCGGGAGCCATAGTAGTAGGTTGTCCGGCGCCAGGAATGCAAAATGCCTCGCATCGCCCATTTGCTGGCGCTGTACTGCGGCCCTCGAGAATAGTCTAGAAAGGTGGCCTCCAAGCCACATGCGCTCGTGGCCTGTGAGGCCCAAGTCAAGGGGAATGGAAACAACTTATTTGCTGTCTCAGGCTGCATTGATGACAGCCATGGGTACATGGCTTCTACCGGAGCTTCAGGCTCCATCGCCTGCCTTGACTACAGGGCTTGCTTACTTCCCTATCTCACTTCAAACTCGCGCTTAGCCTGATGGGTCCCAGGAAGGTGAGGCTTGGTGGTCTTTAAATTCATGTAAAGCACCTTTGCTCCATCATGTCGCGCATTCATGGTGATCAGGGATCGGTCATAATAACCAAGTCTTTGTTCTTATCCTCCTTATCCCCCATTGACGCTGACAATGCCATCCTTGTAATGAACTTACCATGTTAAAATCCCTCCTCCCGGTTCTTAGAAGGCATGAACCCATGAAACAATTGGGCCACAAAGAAAGGTGTTTTCATTGTTCTTACAACCATGTAACCGCCCAAGACGGAAGAATATAAAGCAATGAATGTCTGCTGACGACGAGATCCTGGCGCTCAAGCATACTGCAGCACTGCAATCATGGCATGCCCTAAGTTTGGAATAGTCAATATTTCCCGGGGTCGCCAGATAATCCTCATATCAGCCCTGGGTAAGAGTGCATGGCGACAGGGCGCTCAACGCCTGGGAGAAGTCTTTCAAGCATTGCGGGGCACTCATCCAGACGCCCCTCCTTTTCATGGGGTCATCGTGTGGAACGCTTTAGTCCGTTGTTGCCGGGAAGTGACTCCGGAGGACGATCCAGAGAGAATCCAGGACGGACTATACATGTTTAAAATCGAAGGTAAGGCCCTGCTGCATCTCGGGTACCCCGTGCAACACCGGTGGTATAAACGTTGGCAGCATGAGACGGTTCCCATCTCCAAGATTAAACTGCGCCCAGAAGATTTTCCTAACACCCGTGTTGGGATGACCGATTCTGCACTAGCTACAAATTGTATTGCCATGTAAGCGCTGATATAAATCATCCTGTCCTCTCAACCTACTGTAGTAGAATTGTGATAGACTCACGACTCACGCTTCGGAGGCCGGATGTTCGGCTTTTCGAATGCGACAAGTTATCGTGCGTACCTCCCAGTAGTATTGGCCTGATTGATATGATTTCCATTATCAATGTTTCCATCCCATCAGTCTGACCATCGGACTGTGGGTTAATATGGGTGTCCTTGTCCTCCATCGTGTCAGGGTTTGACACCCCCCTTACCCCGACGACACAAACTATTTAGAATAGTTGTGGGTAAACTCACTTCCCATTCCAACTATGATTTAGACTTCAGTCGAGGAGTAGATCTCATGAGAGTGCTATCTCAAACTTAGATGCTTTGACCTTCTTCCGAAATGCTTACTGCTTCTATGCACCAAGCACGACATTCATGGCTGGGAACAGCAGAGACACGTTAATGAGGTCTCATGTCGGGTTGGGGCATATAAGGAATCGCCATCGTTCTATAGCACCCGGAATATGAATGCGACGCCGAACCCCCTCCCATTGGCCAAGGTCAAGGCCAGAGTATGCTGGGTTCGGTCTTTCACTCCGCAGGAAGCATCATCCGCCGGTGGTGGCCCCATCAGGCGGTCATGTTGGGGTCAGCGGGGAAGACTTGCCCCGGTCACATACGGCCTGGGGTTCCGATGATCATTTGTCTGTTGAAGATGCACCCGAATCTAGCTATGAGGCAGGGGGACCATTTCCATTGGATGCGGACTTGTAGTATGGATAAGTACCTCTGGACGATGAAAAACTTAACATTTAGGCTCTGAGGTCCCAGTCGTTCCAGCCTTGTCGGTCAAAAGCAAGGGCCAGACTGGTCTAGGCCAAGGGAGTGGCTATATGTTGACTGCATTCGGAACTGGTGGGCGTCCTTGGAGCGACGCCAGCAAGCAGCCAGACTCTTCCAGACACTCCGTCGACATATTTTCATGACTTGATGAGTGGATTCAAACCACAAGACCGAGCCAAACAGAAGTCAAGGCAAGGAGGAATCCTCCTCCTCGGCACCCTCGCGGCATGAGCTGGAACTGGGCGGAAGATTCCTACCTCCTCAATCACACCATGGCTTCGCAACCGTACTTAACCAAGTCATACTATCTCGCCTCGCCTATAAAGACATCGTGACTGCTCACCTTACATGTCAACCAAACCACTCTGAGAAAGCTCTTGCACGACAGCAGACGCAGTGTTTCCAAACCACAACCATCTCTCGGAAAGCCTTTCAGACTATTCACCATGGCACAGACCAAGCTCACCTCGAGGCTGTCGTCCATCTTCTTCCTCATAACGTGGACGGTGGGAGTCATCGCTATCGTGCTCCCCCCGAAGCTCCCCGTGTCCAAGAGTCTCGCCCCGTCTATTCTATGCGACGAGGTCACAATTCTCGGAGGCATCGGCGCTAACTCAGACGGCAAAAGATGTATTGGCCCCGGCTGCCCAATCGCTTGCATCAAGCCAGTTTCGGGGCCAGGGAAAGGGCAAGACTCCGATGAGGAAGTATCCGACGGTCTAGACTCCGAGGACACGGAAGACAACAGCGAGCAAAGCAGGGAGAAAGGTTCGGAGTCAGATGCAGCCCTCTCCGACGACAAAGAATCCGGCGGCGATGGATCCGACGGCATGAAATCCAGCAGCAAAGGTGCTACAAAGAAGCAACCTGCTGATACGCGATTGACAAGAAAGCGCTTCGATGACCAACAGGGCAACGGGAAGGCTTTCGGGCGGAAGGGTCATGGCAAAGGTTTGGATAAAGATTCCGACAAGGGCTTTTCCAAGGAAGAGGAGGACACTGGCAAGAAGTATGGAGAAGAGTTCGGTGAAGAGGGCGAGAGATATGGCAAGAAGAAGGGCGAGACGGGCCAGGAATACGGCGAGAAGGACGGCAAAGAGAATAAGAACAGTGGCAAGGAATACAGTACGGAAGGCGGAAAAGAGGATGGCTCGAAAGATGATAACGAAGATGGCGCCACTAGCACGAAGTACGGAAAAGGCTCTGGCGAGGAGGATGGCAATACTGGAGAGAAGGACAGAATCGAGGACGGCTCGACGGATGACAAGAAGGAAAGCGAGGACGCTGATGGCAACGATGGTGAGAGTGACAAAACGGGCTCTGGTGAGAACGGTGGCGCGCAATGGGGTAGCAAGAAAGGAGGCAAGCTAGGGAACAAGGAAGGCTTGGAGCAGTCCAGTGAAGATGATCATGAATCCAACAACACCGGATCCACCAGCAAGGGATCTGAGGGTAAGGGATCCCAGGGAAAAGGGTCCAAGTCCAAGTCATCTCAGACTGAGAGCGCTGGCAATGAGCTTTCTGACGAGAATGCGGCCGATTCATCGTCAAAGTGAGATTTACCACGGACCACGACGATTCGGGCGAGCTTTTCAAAGTGGCCGGGCTGATAGAGCCAGCCAAAGATAGTAGAAGTCAATTTGCAATGGAAGATCCTGGCTTACTGTTACGTCTCCCAAAAATCTGCAAGTTGTAGGCACCGGCTCGACATCTTTTCAGCTCGCAAGTCTCGGGTTACAGGAGAAGGCAGCTTTGATGATGAGCATTATTTAAGGTATTCCCAGGTTGTTAGATGTTCTGTAATCAGATCTGCTTAGCTAGAAATGAATAGTAAGCACTAACTAACCATCCGGAGTACCGTCGGCTTACATGATTTCTGTACTTGCTCGCGTTGGCAGATTGATTTACAAGTGACAATCCTGAAAAGTGGGACCTCGGCTAGGCCAGGTCTCGGATACTCAAATTCGAAATTAGAGGAACAAAAAAATGAATTGAGTAAAGTTAAAGAAGATTTCAGTAATACAGCTAAATAAATTCTCTTGCATTATTCTTGGTGTGGTGAAACATGCATTAGGTTAGAAAGTCTTCCAATCAGAAAGTAGTCAAAGGTGAGGCGGGTGTGACCAGGCCATTCAAGTTCATAAAAAATGTTGCGCCTAGATAATGTAGCTGATACATTTTTTCCGTTCAATGTAGTATAACAGTAGTAATTTTAAGGGCGTGTCAACATCTTAGTACGGTTTGGTGCATCGAAGTCAACACTCACCTCTTGAGAATTACACAGCATTTGCGCCTGACATAACCCTCCAGGACATGATGTCTATAGCAATATAAAAGCCCGGCGCGGCCTGCAGTGCTATCAATATACCCGAAGCTTCCCTACCAGATTTCTCGTCAAACTTAATTGGTAGGTACTTACCATAATCACAACTGATGCATCATATACCCCGCAGCTGATCGGAGTATCAGCTAGCCCCCTTGTGTGCTGGTTGACACAATCGGGGCTGTCTTTTTCCGAAATTATGTAACTCAATGGCTCTCTTGTAGCTGAAACAGCTTTCGCTCTTGGACAGAATGTCATGGCGGTTGGTAGCGGCCTAGGCATCGTCATTAGTGCTTTACTGGTGCTGATACCGTGGACAATGATGATGCTGATGGTTTTGAATGTACTTGAACTAAAGCTGACGAAACTGTAACCGAAGTTCAAGAGTACTCAGCAGAGATAAATTTTGCAGTAGTACCAATGTCATAGGTCTCGTTCTCGTAAACTGAAATGATGCCGACGAACTCGACAAGTTGTTGTCAGGAAGGAAGAGTAATAAAACTCGAATCTACGTCGGTACCACGCAGGCTTAAAAAGGACCGCCCCCTGTCTCATGTACCATACGAATTTGTTTTCAGGCACTGATTCGCTCGATAGCGGCCCTTCAGGGTCACCAGAGAAAGATAGACATTGACGCACTTCATTCTGATGCGATGCACATATCACCATGCTGATGGGCTCATCATTTAGCGGCTTTTTTGAGGAATGCCTTCGTGTTTTGATGTACTCTGTATGACCTTAACGTGCTAATCATAAATATAACGGTTATCGTAGAAGATGTAAAACACATCAACAACAGTCAAATATCGACAAATAACAATCGAGTTCTTTTTAAAGTGCATTTCATATTATATAACCCTTCATAAATAACGTATCATATGTGGGGTCCACAAATTATTAAATAAGAAACGTAGTCAGGGTACTAGTCACATACTCAATACTTTAAGCTAAGTTCCTGGTTTATCCGCTTCAATTTCGGTACATCACTTGCTCTTCTTTCTTGGAGGTGAGAAGAGACTGATATGAAATCCTCGATATTAGCATCGAGTTGCGGAACATTCCTCAACAATGATGGCAACTAGATTGATATAAGGTTGAGCTACTCAATACTTTGTTGAATTTGTTTCGAGCACTTTCAAAGTGCCTGGTTATGGCCTTGGTTGCCTGAATTCATTGTATAAAAGGGTTGCTTGCCTACTCTACCAGTGACAGAAGGAAAGCACAGGCTACCCAATGTTAGGAAGCCTGAATATTTCAAATTAGGATCATCGATTTTGCTGAACCATGAAAAAATCGATTCAAAATAATGTCACTCAAAGGAGTCTTCGGAGGTAACATAATGCCCATTAAAAAAAACCGACCTCGAAACCATATACTTTTGATAATTGCGCCCGGGAGGCCAGGCAACATGCCAACAACATATCCAGGGGGAGATAAACAACTTTATCGGCGCCAATAGTCTGTGCTACCTCACTTTCAGTGCGCCCGTGAGCTATGAGCGCTTCTGGCTCGGCTAGGTCAATGCCATGGATATGATTGTACCTAAATACCGTGTCAGCAATGTCGCATAAAATAGCCGCGAGCTCGCACCTTATAGCCGGTGAGCTGCTTGCGAATACTACTTGTATCACACCCGCCTTTCTTACTATTCTGACAATTTCACGACTGGTGCCACCACGAACGATACTATCGTCAACAATAAGAACATTCTTGGCTTGAAACCCGGAACTGACAGTACTCAATTTTCTCCACACAGTTTTGAGCCTCTTCTATTGACATAGTAAAATAAAGCTGCGGTTACAGTAACTGTTTTTAAATCAAACCCAGCGTAAATGGAATCTTCAGGTGACTAGACAATACTAGACCACTGACATAACCAGAGTCGGGAACTGGTATGACCACGTCTATCTTACCGCACGTAACAGCTCCTAACGTTTCGAGCACCATACTGCCGAGGGCGCAACCTATACGTCGTCGGCAGTCCTTCACGTTGATTCCATCGAGAGTGCTTTCCGGACGAGCGAAATATACAAGCTCGAAGATATCGAGCAAATAGCTTTTGAGGTTCACAACCTGATGGAATTCGAGTTGGTTGTTTGCGGTGACATCGATAAGAACAGCTTCTCCTGAACGCTTGTTAATGTTAAAAGCGAGCAGACTAAGCAAATCAGCGCCAACGTGGACTGATGTCCCGCATCGGGACATAATCTAGCTTTTCTAAAGCGACAGTTTTGCTTGCTAGCATGTAATCGTGGGAGCTGTCATGATTCCGCCGCTGACCAAGGATCAAAGGCTTAATTCCATGGGAATCTCGGAACCCTACGACAAACTTGGCGTTGAACATGATTAGACAAGAAAAAGAGCCGCTGCATTTGAGATACACTTGATGCAATGCGAGGAAAATCTTGGACTTGAGTATGTTTGGTGCAAGCGAAGTGTCTGCTTTTTCCTTGTCTCCAATATGACGGAAAGGATAATGTACGAATCTGATCTCTGATGCTGAAATTCGCGTTTCCCGGCAGATTCTGACACATGTCCATTCTAAAGCCTGTGAGTAAAGTGCGTGAACATGAAATAGGGGTTGGCTGAGCTTATACATGTACCAAGAATATGTCGTGAGTGCCATGGCTGGAAATCGGCTGTGCTTCCAGATCTCTTATGGTACCAGAAGTACGATATCTGACTTGATTTCATTAGTGAAGCCATCCATTAGTGCATAGTTGTCGACTAGCTACTTACCATGTCCCAGTCCCATATATCCGATTAAATTTGTTCCTATCAGGTTTGAATCGAAAACTTCGCTTACCAAACCCTTTCCTTTGATGCAATGATATGGTCCCAGGAATTCCGTGGTTGCAATGCCACACGCGTCTTGTCCTCGATGTTGCAGCTGATAGAGACCTTGCTACTGCTAGTTGAATAGATGCAGTGCAGGGCGAGCAATAGCCCTGCGTGTGATTTGGTCTCATCAAATCTTGCTAAACAAGGGCTCCGCAGTCATAATGCAGCCATTTATTACAATGTTCGTTGACAAGAGTAGGTATACCACAAGCGCTACTGGTATCTTCTTTGGTGGCTATAAGTTTGCTATTCTATGATCTTCTTTGCTACACGGACCTTTCTAGACTCGGCTGAAACACCCATAGGAAGGAACAATGTATCGCAGCCGCCTTCGACGTATGGATGCGATTGTAGTCTAATTCGTTCGCACATGCCTACCAATCAAAAGCTGCAAGCTCTCATTATAATTGGAAAAAAAATGGATAACATTGTTCTAGTCAGTTCATACACATAGAACGCACAAGCAGGTGATGCACAAGCTGTTACGAATTTATTCCCAGGCGCTCGCTTTTCCATGCTCTCGATCGAACAAGTTAGTAGAGGTATAAATTTGAACTAAATCGAACAAATTCTTACTTCTTGCATCATCTCAGAAAACAATGGTATTTGTCTTATACAGGTAAGGCTGCAAAACTAACAAGGGTGAAAAGCAGAAAGCCCGTTTGGTATTTGCTCTTATCAGCTGCGGGGTACAATAGGGACCTCCATCCTTGTGACAAGTACGTGGCTTTTCTTGGCAATATCCTTAAGTCCTTCTCGTAGGACGGCCGGAAAATCGCTTATCTCGAAAACTCTATGTGGTGCTGTGCATTTCTTTGTACTTTTGATGCATTCAGATTCATTATGCTCGGCACAGACCTCAGCTGTGGATCGGGAAAAGTCCTCAAAAAAGTAACTAAACTAAATCGACAATACTACCAAGAAAAACAAAAAGATGAATTTCCGACCTCGTCTTCCAGCACTCTTCGAATCCACGAGTTTCACCTTTAAAAGTTCGCAATAACTCTTACTCTTCGGATCAACAGATGACTATCGCAACCTTGCTCATAATTTTAGCGCTCCTAAGGAGGCCAATTGCCTCATTTACAAGGATCATTGCCTACTCACCTTGCCCAGAAAGCAGAAAACATCAAGCTGATCACTCAAAGCTGCAGACTAATGTCCAACTATCACACCTCAACCAGACTGTCGGGTCTGTTGGCAAATTCTCTTTCGTTGCTGGTATCGGCCGATGTGCCCCTCCTCTACGCCCCGAACCCAAGTTTGGGGCGGCGCTCCGACGGAAGGCAGCTGGTCTCTTTCCAGTCTGACCGAAATTCGAGGCTATAAGAGTACGGGCCCTGCCTTCCTTATCATCATCAAGAGCTCCTTCCTTATTCGTCAGTAGAAGGGAGAGACAGAGATTACAATGGGGTACAGTCAGCATTTGTGGGATGGAATGCCTGAACATCCATCATTCTCTTTCTAGGCAATACTTGAAAAAAGCCCAGGCCCTTACTCCCGTTTGAGTAGAGAAAATCCATCGATAATGATTGCTTACGAGACGTTACTCAAATGACTTGTGCAATTGGGCTTCTTGCTACACAACGGCAATAAAGAGAGCTACTGAACTGCGCCTGAGACTAATAAATACGTGGCCATCCATCAGCAAATTGCAGCAACGATCCTACTGCCACAAACAAGAGCGTTACAAACAGGCAGATTTGACAGTAAGAAAATGTTTTCATAATGTCTCCTTACCCCAGTAAGAAGGTCTCAGATTTCCCTGTCCCAAGGGGTCCGGCTGGTTGAGATTTCGTTATTGTGTGGACTAATAATTTGGGTCTTTAACCGGCGATTTAATCGAACAAGGCATTAACTGTTAGGCAAAAAGCAAGCGCTTCTGGAAGTAAGCAGCCACCACTCAAAGTACTATGAGTAATATATAGCTCACTGAACGGATAATCTTCCTAACAGACCGCGTCAAGCGAGGGGTTTACTTGCCATTGATCCTTTTCCTACCTAATAAGCTCAGGCGGTGAATTTAGCCGACCAGACTTCCACTATTGCGCTGTAGTCTGCTCTGACATCCCTTATCTTGATCACGTCAATTATTATTCTGTGCTGCAATCACTACTATGGTCAATCAGAAACCCCAGCGCAGCGCCAATCCCATCCCAAGAAGAACCAGTCTCTGCCATATTTGAGTCTGCTGTAGCCTGCTTCCACATTGTTTTGAACTGCTGGTTGAATATTTCAAATCATGGGCAATTTCATTTTGCTGAGACGAACTCTTCAATCATGTGTGCATACTCGATTCATGCTTCGCTTCCGAGTGATTCCTCTTTACCGCCGTACCAGATCAACTCTAGATCTTTAGTCCCTGTTACTTCGGTGGGATTCGATTTCACGCCACTTTTTGAAGACACTATACTCTCTTTGTTACCATCAGCACTCCTCCTACTTGTTCTACCCTATCGCCTAAGAAGCCTCCATGGTCAGCGGCCAAAAGTGTCTGATGGAGGGCTTTTGCGTGAGAGCAAAACATTATTCTTGGCTGTTTACGCGGCAAATCACCTCGCGTTGTTGATATTGCGCATTATCAAATCATCTCTACGTACGAACGCCAGTATCCCTGAGTCTACTCTGGCATTCGTTGCCAGCATAGGTCTCTGTCTACTTTCACGGATAGAGCACAGTCGTTCTATTCGCCCATCTCCAATTATAAATACCTACATCCTCCTCACTCTGGTCTTTGACATTGCTCGTTTGCGAACGCTATTCCTCAATCCAGTTAATATAGCTATTCCTGCGACGTTTTCAAGCATGATTGGTATAAAAGTCATGGTTCTGCTTGTGGAAGCAGTCGAGAAGCGAAGGATTCTCTTAGCACCATATAGTGGCCTATCTCCGGAAGAAACAAGCGGCATTTACGGACGATCATTGTTTTTCTGGCTCAATCAACTCATGGTATCTGGTTATCACAAAATTCTTCAGAATCACGATCTGTTTCCAGTCGATAGTGATATGTCATCCCTGGTACTACACCAGCGCTTGAAAAAGACTTGGAATACTGCAACAGAATATGGACGGAGAGCTCTTTTCTGGTCAGTGCTCCGCGCGAATCTGAAGCCGTTTCTTTTCGGCGTGGTACCCCGCCTTTTCCAGATTGGCTTCAAGTATGCCCAGTCTCTCCTTCTTGATCGGATAATCAGTTTTGCAAGCAATGAGAATGAACCAGACAGTATCGGTTGGGGTCTCACTGGAGCCTTTCTGCTGGTTCTACTCGGTCTCGCAGTGTCTAATGGCGTTTTCTATCATATGGCATTTCGCTTCGTGACAATTGCTCGTGGTAGTTTGATTAGTGTCATCTATGCCAAAACGGTCGACCTCAGCATTACATCGCTTGATGAATCAGTCGCAGTGACTTTGATGTCTAGCGATGTTCAAGCAATTTGCAACGGTTTTCAACTAATTCATGATCTCTGGGGAGTTCCGCTAGAACTTGGAATTGTGATCTATCTCTTATCTCGCCAGGTCGGCATTGCGGCAGTCATGCCAGCCATGCTGGCATTATTGTCCACTATCGCTATCATCTCCATGGCGAGATTCATGGGAAACGCGCAAAAGACATGGATGAAAAGTATTCAGACGCGGGTAGATGTCACAGCAACTATGTTGGGGTCTATGAAATCGGTCAAGATGCTTGGATTCACCAGCTGGATAGCCAGTATAGTTCAAGGACTTAGAGTAGCTGAGCTTCAGGAGGCGAAGCTTTTTCGCAGATTGCTTGTATTGCGTGTTTTTCTTGCTAACAGCCTCAGATTTCTGGCGCCGCCCCTGACATTTGCTATCTACGCAAGGATTGCCGAAAAAGGATCTCTCAATGTAAATTCTACTTACACAACGCTGTCACTCATATCGCTTGCTGCCTCTCCTGTCAATACCTTCATTCGAGCCATTCCTGCTATGAACGCTGCTTTAGCATCCTTTGACCGCATTCAAGGATTTCTCCAGGCGGAGAGCAGACAGGATCATCGTTTATCTTCCGATGAATACCCATCCTCGCAGGAAAGGGTTTTGCAAGGCCCGCGAGATATGGAACACAAAGAATTTTCGGATATTGCTCTTTCCAGGCACGAAGCAGTATCGGAAGTCATTACAGCAAGAAACGTGAGCTTTGCATGGACTCATCATTCATCATTTTCGGTACATAATATCAATTTGAATGTGCGGAAAGGTCAGTTTTGTTTCATCATTGGGCCTGTTGGCTGTGGAAAAAGCACTCTCATAAAGGGTATGCTGGGTGAAACACCTTCGGCCGAAGGCTTCCTATACACAAAATGCCGTGAAACAGCATTTGTGGATCAAACACCTTGGATCAGCAATCAATCGTTCCGGGATAACATTCTGGGAGCCTCAAATTTCGAAGAGACATGGTATCATGAGGTGGTCAACGCTTGTGGGTTAGATCAAGATGTCGCAAATCTCCCTAACGGCCATTGTGGGTGCTACTATCCTGAACACTTCATTCTACTACTAATACTACTCATTATTCTAAATATTTAGCGACACAAGTCGGTTCTTCCGGAATATCTCTTTCAGGAGGACAGAAACAGCGTTTGGCACTGGCTCGTGCTATTTACGCAACCAGAACTATTGTTATGCTTGATGACTCTTTTTCAGGCCTTGACACTGACACCGAAGAGCATGTGTTCAAAAATCTATTTGCAAGGAACGGAATTTTTCGCCGGCAAGGCACAACTGTGATTTTAGCTACGCACGCTGTACATCGACTTCCTTACGCGGATCATATCGTCGCCATGAGGATGGATGGTACCATTGCTGAGCAGGGCACCCTAAAAGATCTCAAAGCTAACGGGGGCTACGTGGCTCTTTTGAGTTCAGAGACAGAAAGCAAAGCCAATGATTCTCTGGGTTCCAAAAGGCGAAAGAGCGCAGAAGTTGTACTCGCTGGCTCCGAGCAACAAACTTCCATTCACGCCATGGAAGAAGAATTGACCCGGCAAAATGGAGATTTAACTCTATACATGTATTACTTCGGGTCTGTACATTGGCTTTCTACTGTCTTTTGGATGACTTCATTTATCATCGAAGGAATATCTCCAAAACTGAGTGAATTTTGGGTCAAGATATGGATGAGCTCACTGGAGAATAAGGGCAGCGCTGCCACCTCCTTCTATCTAGGTCTATACGCCATGCTGTCAACTATCCCGGTCATTGCACTTTTAGGTGGAGCCTACCATTTATTTATGTCATTTGCTCCCCGCAGTGCTGAAAGACTACACGAACGTCTCCTACAATCGGTCATGCAGGCCCCCCTGTCATTCTTCACTTCGGTTGACACGGGTATCACTATGAACAGGTAAGCTTACTTGCTACGAGAAATCTCGATGTATAAATTATCTAGAGTTGCTTGAGTCTGACTATGACTTAGATTCAGCCAGGATATGACTCTAATCGACCATGATTTACCTTATTCTGTCCTGGATTTTGTGTTCTCCCTTGCGGGCGGATTTATGTCTGCCATCATGATATGTATATCGACTCGGTATTTCGCCGCCGTGATACCGCCTTTTTGCCTCTTCCTATGGATACTGCAAAAATTCTATTTAAGAACATCACGCCAAATGCGACTTCTCGACCTTGAAGCGAAATCACCTTTATTTTCTCATTTTCTTGAGAGCTTGTCCGGCTTAGTAACAATTCGTGCATTTGGCTGGCAGTCCGTATTCGAAGAACAGAACCTGGCTCTCCTCAACGCATCACAGAAGCCCTTCTATTTGCTCTTCTGTATCCAGAGATGGTTGGAGCTAGCTCTAGATCTGTCTGTGGCCATTCTTGGATTTATACTGATGATCCTTGTGGTTAGGTTGAGAACAACAGTTGGTACTGGATTTGTCGGTCTGGCCATTCTCAATGTGATCACTTTCAGCCAGTCGCTTTCGCAAATCCTTCGAAATTGGGCCGACCTTGAGACGTCCCTTGGGGCTATTGCCCGAATTAGAGACTTTATAACCCAGAATGTCTCTGAGAACAAACCTGGTGAGAACAATGGTCTCGAAGCGACGGATCTTGATTTATCCAATTGGCCGTCTGAGGGTGCGATCGAGTTCCGAAATGTTTTTGCTACTTACAAGGAAGGTGAAGACACATCGTACGTCCTGCGCAATTTGAGCCTATCGATTCAACCTGGTCAAAAAATTGGCATTTGTGGTCGAAGTGGGAGTGGAAAAAGCTCACTTCTTTCTACTCTGTTTCGGCTACTTGAAATTGATTCGAAAAGTCAAATTCTCATTGACGGCGTGAACATAGCCAGCATTCCTCGGGAAACAACGCGTACAGCTCTCAATGCAATTCCGCAAGAGCCATTTTTCACGCACGGTACTGTCCGTGCCAATATGGATCCATATGGAACACATAGCACTGAAGTGATTGAGAGTGCTCTTCGTCGTGTTAAGCTATGGCACGTCGTCGAGATGAAGGGGGGATTAAATGCTGCACTAGATGTCCACTTTTTCTCCCATGGTCAAAGACAGCTGTTTTGTCTTGCCCGAGCCCTACTACGCAAAAGCAAGGTCATCGTCCTTGATGAAGTGACCAGCAATGTGGACGTCGATTCTGATGCATTGATGCAGCGTGTGATCCGCGAAGAATTCTCCAACTGCACTATTTTGGCTGTTGCTCATCGGCTTGCGTCTATCCTTGATTTTGATCGCATTGCCGTGATAAAGGGTGGCGAGCTTGTTGAATTTGATACACCGGAGTCGCTTCTCGGGAAGGAAAGTGCGTTCAAAGAACTATACGAGGCGTGATCTATGGAATGAGTAGATACTAAAATGAAGGTGGTTATCGCGATGGGAAAATGATTTCGTTCGTACAATATATCCAGGTATACTCGAATGCGATAGCAGAGCTTCGGACACTCGTAAGAGGTTAGACGAGATGCAAGAAGACCATATCCCATATTGAGTAGAACTACTGCAGGCCAAATTCTTGATTATACCTGGTGCGAAGGCTTAGGCTCCGAAGCTGTCAGCTACCGGCAATCCATTTTCAACTTAACTATCCTATTTGCTTGTCATAGTTGTAGCAGCCTGGAAAGCTCTGTAGATAATGGCCACTCCAAGCAACACCGGCTTGGCACTGCTCTATCGCCATTGGCTTTTTACCAGGATTTAGCGTGAAATAAGCGCGTTGAAATAGGTCAGTATTCGAAGCACGCACTGCGAGCCGCTTCCTTAAGAGCTTGTTAGCGTCAATTGCATAGATGCATTGCGTAGCCTTCCGTTGACTCTCAATCTACGAAAGGGCCGGCATAAGTGAAGACCTATCAATGCAGGCATTTGCCTCGCAGCACTGATTGAAGAGCCAGAAACCCCCTCCAGTAGCCGAGGCTGCTAAATCGTATCGAGTGCTAAACGTGTCACGTTGTGCTATTCATTATGCATTCATACAGCTCGCTTCTAAGCGATAATTATTGATGTTAGGCTCTAAGAATAAACAATAATGATGATGATGATGCTAAAGATCCAAATGGGCCTCAAGCAAGAACGACTGATCTATGGAGAAGTTGACATAGATTGTTCACTTTTCTAGTCGGTATTAAATAATTACCTGGCCACAGAATGCTGTTATGCGAGGAATCTAGCGTCTAAGAAAGAGACTTGGGTTATTCCTGCTCAGTCAGAAAGCACTCAACCTATCACGGTACAGTGCGTTCACGGAAGCTATGTTGGCCGGACGCAGCGAGCCTAACACGGACACTGTTTCTCCAGGAGGAGATGCAAGTTTTGGATAATGACAGGTGTCCCACGATGAGATTGCAAGAAGTTTTTGACTTTGAATAAGACAACCTCAGAATTTGAATTCCTCTGGGCCTGAGATGAGCAAACAAGCAGATTCAGAATCGCGCGAAAAGACTCGTACAACTACAGAATCGCCAGTCGAATTTTCAAGGCCATTGACAAGCCGTCTGGTAACAATAGTTTTCGCATTCGTCATGTTCATTCTGCTCGTGGGACTTCAAAGTTTAATCCACCGGAGTTGGATTTATTCTAATTGTCTGAGTTGTACACCGGCGTGCGAACAGTGACTCTGGCAAGCGGTATAAAATACAATGGCGCGGGACCTATCGTCTTAAAACTTCAATCATCAGCAACTAGCCGTGAGGCTGTATGATGGCGTCAACATCACGCAGAGTTAATGAGTCCGTGCCCTGCAAAATAAGAACTCGGTCTTAGACTAGAAATCTTCTTCAAACCTTTGGTAGGAAAAAAGCTACAAACATTTACTATCAATACTATCAAGCAAGGGCTGCGCTCTTCGATAGGAAGCGATCTCAGCTACTGGATTGCGATCAGACTTGTAAATGACCCCCGGCCGATCAGTTAGAACTTTTCCCGTTTGAGAGGGGTAATGGCACTGGTATGCAGTCACGTTTCGTTCCGGACTAATGCCAGGTCTGCTGAGATTTAAGCAACGCTTGGCGGCAGTAGACAACCATCTAGATTTACCGAAACTCTTTGACACATCGGTATGCCAGGCTTGGTTTCAAGATAACTACTCAAGGCCAGCACTGACTAGACGACTAAACGTATGGAGCAAACAATGACATTCCATATACACGTCGCCACTGAGCATCAACTGAAGTAGTTAGGCACAGCCAGGGCCAGACCCGAGGAAATAGAATACATTCCACCACTGCTTATAGGGATAATTAGACAAGCTCGAATAGGCTTAGAAGGTAGACGGTTGCCGGAAGCTAAATGTTGAGAACTATATCCCGGCCCTGGCCTTCAGCAAAGCCATCCCTCAAGCACTAGGCACCGCTATCGCACCCCCTGCATGTCTTCTGATTAATAGCAAGCCCTTCCAGCTGATGATATTCTACATAAGTGTGCATCCGTTGGCATTATCTCGTTCAGGTTCAACCCTGGGGTCGGACGTGTCGTTATGATACCAGACTGGTACACGCCATAGGTACGCGTTAGACATATATAAGGGCTAAAGTGGTGAAATAGCGTCATGAACGGATAGCTCTTGCGAGGCCAAAGGTGCCAGTCTATTGCCTCAAGGTATTGTTGCTGATCTGCCTAGTTCGCGAGTCATCCACTCCCTAAGTGGGAGGTCGCGGCCTGCTCGCTTAGCTATCACGTGACTGATGCTTGCTATATAGATTTCCCTTCGCAGCTATCTGCGAAGGTTGGAAGGGCTGGTTTAGCACTTACAGTATATCATCAGCTCGCATCCCTGCTGCAGGTGGCATACCTTTAACTTGATTTGTTAAGGTCTTGTGAAATAATGCGTATGGAACACGAGCCGGACACATAAGCGAGTAGGCCATCCGGAATACACACCATATTAGACTCTTATTCCAAAATATATATGAGCCGACTCCAATTCTTTCTGCCTTAATAGTACTGCAGTATCAGACAGAAACTCTGTGATGCTTATTACTTTATAAGTGAATATCGCTATCTTAGGCTTGCTATTTAAGCCATGACTAGGAGACTGCCTCCTAAAAGTAGATAAGAACCCCCCCAGACTTGTGCATCTAAGTAGCTACTGTTATATATTTAAATCAAGTTATCTGCTAAAGATAGTCCCGTGAGACACAGTATACTGATAATTATAAATACTATACTGATTCTAGTACTACTTTTAGTTAGGTCTTTTATCAGACTGGCCAATGTTGACGGAAATAAGCCTTGAATACCCGCGCCGAAGAATCCAAAGAAGACGACCCAAACTATCTCATGCGCAAACGAAAGCACAAGTAGCTATATATAGAGATAAAGAATAGTAAAGAATATAATAGGAATAAGGACTATAATCGCACTAGAGTAGTGATCTGTGAATAAGACTGGAACAATGCAATCCGGAATTCTAATAGTATTAACAATAAGAAGAATATTGTATGAGGAAGCCTCTGATATATACAGCTTATCAAGAGTATATAAATATACCTAAGAGCATTAGATTAGTATAAAATAGCTTTATGATAAAGCATGGTAATATTAGAGAAATATATATAGTAATATACAAAATAAGTTGCCCAAAGAGTAAAGAACATACTGATTGTAAAGAGTAAATAAGATAACTCCTTAAAAGCTACTAGCTTAATTAGCTGCCTACTTTTGCGAGGTAGATATCATGTCTTAATAATAGATAGTATTACCGCTATATTCAGCAGTATCACGAAACCTATAATGCGTATTATCCAGGGAAAGCTAAGATGAGGTAGTAATTGCTCTGTAATAATAGGAAATATAATTCCTTCTATTACTGCACCACTCGCAGCGGTTGATATAGTAATGGTATATTTAGTCGTAGATAAGTTAAAATTAATGTAATTGTCGGGCAAAACGTGAGGCCGTTGCCGAATTCTTGACAGATACCCTGTACCAGAAACAGCTGCCAGTAGCTTGTGTAGATGCTGGTAGTAAACATAGCCAGTAATTGTTTCAAGCATCCAGCCCACAGAATAGATTAATAGTAATCAGTGTCGAAGGTGTGCTCCGAGACTGCTTTGATTAGGAAGATCAGGAAGACTTGAGTGCTACTGATCCAGGAAATGGTAGAGGCGGGAAGATTTAGCAATAAAGTATAGTAACTCTGAAATATACCAAAACTATTGGTATAGCCCCAGGCATTGAAGACGATGAGATGGCCAGCTAGAACCTGTAGCCAGGCTGTAAGACCGCCATTTGGTGACGGTTCATCTGAGAAAAGAGCATGGGGTACAGGTAAGGCAGCGTGCTCAACACTGGATATGGATCTTATTATAGCGAAATTTGTTCATCCCTGTCCGAAGAATTGAAAATCACTCTTTCTAACTCTGTGCTTAGTTCTGAGCCTGTCAACTTGATTTAAAATCCAGAAAATCCAGAAAAACGTGACTAGAGGGAAGGACCTCAGTTCTTGCGGCTGTAGAATATCAAATCATTTTGTCTAATTCTCAACATGACACCCAAATCAACTGCAAAGATAATACAGAGAAAAGTAGAACCTTGGATTTACCCTGTCTCTTACGGGATTTGTTGCTTGAATACTGCAATGACACGTTCTGTTTCTAATCTAAGTGATACTTATGCAGCCACTATCCCCACCCTGCTATGCACGGATGTAACTGAGAAGTTATTTGGAATACTTGCCACGTCATGCCATATTGCTCTGCGTGAATTTTAAGTCATTGGTGGGTAGATAATTATAAAAAACGTATAAGAGAATTAAGCATTGACACATTATTACCACAGAAGCATATTCTATAATATACTGATAGCCTCTATATTCGAATTCTTCTGGTATTTTATATTTCAGGTTCCATATAGCATTAGAGCATATCATTAGACAACTATTTCTTCAAATAACAAAGCTTTATATTATAACCTAATCTGTACTTACATCTCAGTACTTAATCATAGAATTCAACAAGCAGACCTCTCTTGAGTTCCAGCACGCTTTAGTGGAAGCTTTTAAAGCTTGAAAGAATAGCCCTGTCTTACCTACCCTCGCAGTTCTGAAACATGCTATTGGGAAATTTCCTACTATACTGTCCTACACAGGCTATGGACTAGAAGCCACAGCAAGACATCTTATCGAGGATATTATGCCTGGTCTCTCTTGCTCGAGTCACTCTCCCCGCTACTATAGTTTTATTACTAGAGGCTGTACTCCTGCTACCAACTTAGTAGATAACTTTATATCTACTCTAGACCAGAACGTCCAAGTCCACCTACCTTAAGAGATATTAGTCACAGATATTGAGATAAAGGCTATAAATATGCCCAAGAAGCTTATCAGCCTCGAAGTT